TACTAATAAGAATCCAAACACACACTTGCATACACACACCACACACATACACAATGCCAGCTGGATCAAGTGGCTTGGGAAGGGGAAGGCAAAAAAAAAAAAAGGAAAGAAAGATGATGTCTTTCAGGACTTTAACACTAAAGTGCAAGACCAGTTCTGTAGCCCACGCTACGTTAAATGGTTCCATTCGAAAGATTGGATGCTCCCTGTGTTTTGTCTCAGTTTTCTTCATTAGTCGGAAGTGCGAGGAGACAGTTTATCTACACAAATAACAGAGTCTGTTTCATGGATCAAATAAAAGTCTAATTTATAAACACTATTTTTAACAACAGTTGCTATTTTTGAATACTTATAATCCTGACTAGAAATTAAAAAAAGAGCCACGGAGGTCGGTCACATTCTGAACTCTGAACGGCATTTAAATGAAAGGAGTTGAACTTCCCTGTTTTATTGAGGATTTATAAATATCAACCGTCGACATTAAAATCCCTGCTAAAGTTCAGACAAATATTTTGAAATTGTGTTTTTCCGTTCAGTTAAAAATCTGTGAATGCAGCCCAAGTTTCAACACTGAACCATTAAAACAAAATTCAGTTCAGTGAGTTTATAATCTAACATTCTTATTTCCTCATATATTTCACAAATATCAAACTTCAGGATGGATATTAAGATGATGTCCACTGTTTACACATAAAGCTTTCCATGACCTAAGTAGTAAAACTGTAGTCTGATCTGACCACAGTACTGTTTTTGCCATGTTTGCCAGATGCCCTACACCCACTAGGTGACTTCTGAAAACAATTTGTTGTGGTGGATTTTATTTAAAGGTGTCATATTGGGTTGCATACAAATGCACAACACATTAGTCACATTAAATTCCAGTAAAATACACTGGAGTGAGTAGATTTAATGACAATCAAAATGCGTAAAAGTTAAAGGGAATTCATATTTTTCCAAGCCACTCTTGGTATCTACGGCACTGGAACCGGTTTGGTCGCCAAAAATAAACATCGCTAAAATGTTGTCAATTTTTTTTTTCATAATTATTCATATTTCATCCTCTAAGAGTACACAAGTGGGTTTTTCTTAGAAGCTCATCGTTATATCTATGTTTGGGTTTGCCCTTCAAAATTAATGTGTGTGTGTGTGTGTGTGTGTGTGTGTGTGTGTGTGTGTGTGTGTGTGGTGTGGATGAGTTACTCACAAGGTTTGAGGTTCTTCTCCTGCACCAACGACAGCCACTTAGCCCCAGTGCCAAAGATGGTGATGCTAGAAATGAGAAAAGTGGACACAGATATGAATTTTTGGGAACAAAAGGAAGAAAAATGAACAATTCCTCAGTAGGTCATTCTAAGGACAGAATGGTAGTTTTCTGGGAAAAGAATAGATTTGCATCAGAGGTTCCAAGAATCTCAGTCACAATTTATAGCCTCCGACATACATGTATTGTACTCTAAATTATGAAGCACATATTGCTGGATAAATGAAGAACATTCCAGATGTTTTCCTGGAACTTTCTGCGAGAAAAAAAAGTGCACACTCTCCTGTTATGGACCATGCAATAACATGTCCAAAAAATTTAAAACTCTTATCTATTAACACCATTAAAGACTTAAAAAAAAAAAAAAAACATGAGTAAAAGAAATGTAATCTATTTAAGAATTTGCACAAATTTTGGTTAAGAATTACTTAATGGTAAAGAAATTGATAAATGAACCATTTTTAAAATAAAAGGAGGCGATGCCAGACCGCTGGAGTGACTGTGACATTGCTGCTTAGCCAGAACCGTGGTATTGCTCCATTTATTGCTTCAGTGAATCTGAGCTGAATGTAAATAAAAGCCTAAAAGGGGCACAAGTTACTGAGCAGCCTTTGCCCTTAATCCCATCTGCTCCAATGGAGCTGCTCAGTTGCCTGTTGTACTTGGAAGCTCCCAGTGGAGAAGAATGAGTCACTGTGTAAATGTAAAGCAAGGTGATGCAGAAACACAGCCCGTGTGCTCAGTTAAGCCTCGATAAAAAATGAGGAGAAGGGTGACTGGGAATTGACTTTCACCTGAACAAACACAAAAAGACTTGCAGAGTATTGGCCAGACAAGGAGGACAAAATGTCTCAATTTTAGATGCTCCGCTAGGAAAAGTATCGACAAAATGTTTGCACTTAACAATGGTGAAATTGAATGATTTGAGAAGTTTCCTTCGTGGTGAGTGGAAGTCACCCTGGCAGCTGACAACAGTTGCACAACATGTGTGGAAGGCATGAAGGGGCGAAACGTCACTTTTCATTGCAGGCGGTTTTAATTTTGGAACCAAACAAAAGGGCCTTTTAATGTCTCTGTGAATGGGAATATCTGCATTCTCGTCCTTTCAAGTTATTTTTGTTGACGTCTTAATCAATCAACTTGCCTCTTATCATTGTAATAGACAATTCTTCCACTGAAAAACAAACCTAAAATCTATCTGTATGTGGAAGACACAATCCTTTGGTGCTTTATTGATCAAATGGCCAAGAATCAGTTTGTGATGAAAGCTGCTATTTGTTCCATTTGTGGTTAAAAGATGTGGCTGATGGGGTGAATGACCGGGGCGGGGGTGAGATGGGGTGAAGTGGTAAAGGTCCCAAGAAGAATTGGGTGGTACTGGGTGGAATGAAGCCACGTGTCTGATGCATTTACTCCTTGGTCATGTTGATTCTGATGAGTTTCTCTATTGACTACAGCCACAGGATGGCATTTTAAGCAATAAGGCAGAAAATCTACAGTAAGGTTCTCAAAAGCTGAGAATTTGGAGACATTTTGCCAATTTTCTAAAACACTGTATACATGAAAGTTGGTAAATTTGCATAGTATTTATTAACCCTTTTTATTTTTTTTATTTTTCTTTCAAGAGAACAGTAAGTTGCATGGTTAGGTTTCTGTATGCTGTAAGCGGTTATCTGAATTAATTCCACTTCATTACAGTTTTAAGACATCCGAGTTCAATAAAGCATAATGTGCTTTCCGGTCAGAAGTTGTACACATTCAAAAGGACAAAGGCCAACAATTACCAGCTTTCACTGATGCATTTGACCAGTTTTGGGGTGGAGAGATTTTAAAACCTATTGAGAATCTATGTTGTATAAATAAGAACTGGGTGAACAAACTTCAGTTTACTGAGTATTAATTATACATCCTGGTCAAAATTTAACCATACACCCCAAATATACACATACTGGTACATATTTTCGGATTAAACTTTATAAAATGAACCCAATTAATAATGCATGATCCCTTTAGAACAGTTAATACCTGATCTCCACATTTGGTTGCAGCCATCTGACTCCACAGATGACACTCCTCCCCCAAATCTGTTTGTCATCTGCACACAAAGTCCCTCTCTCTTTTATCCATCATCCCTGACCCCCTATCTGCATCTGGATTTGTTCGTTGCTTGCTGCCATGGAAACAGCCCTGCCGCTCTGATTGGAGGCAGGTGGCCAGGTGCGGCTGCTAATTGGGTGTTTAAGATGGAGGGAGGAGGAGAAGCTGTGAGTCTTTACCTCTGAGGGTTGTGTGGCAGCATGACCCGACGTGTGCGTTTCAAGGGGGACGTGTAACTGGAAGCTGCTAAATCAATAAGAGATGCTCAAAAGCAATCAGACACAAAAACACCTCAGAGCAATTATTGCATTATGCGTCCCCGCTCCACGTCGTGATGCAGCAGCTGAAGCTCCACTTTTCATTGCGTCTATTCTAGACTACCTTTCCATTTGTTCTCTGGCAAGTAAGTCACTGGGGTGTAAATAAGAGCCTTTGCTCTCTTCACAGGTGTCCCGGACAAAAAGAAACCACGCAAAACTGCTGCTTGAAGGAATACAGTTTAAAGATTAGCAAATATTCAAGCATTTCTGAAAGCCAGGAAAAGTGGATCTTTTTGTAATTTTAACACAAACTAATACTAATTTTGTGGCAAATAGGCCAATTATAGCAATTACAGTGTCCTATTTTTGTTTTAAGAAATTAAACATTTCATTTAGATATTGCATACATTTTTGTTTTCATTTTTCTTTCCAGTGTGGGTATGACACAATAACTTAAACTTTATTCTTTGTCCTAAAAGAAGAACAATTGACATTTTACACGGTCAATAACTGAACAATGAATAAACTGTCGTTTCAGGCTTGTTAAAAATAATCTGCCGCCACATCAGGATTTGACACAAATGGACAAGAGATTGAAGAGACAAGAAGATCCTCTGAGAACACAGGAGCTTCAGGAGTCACACTCACACACGGAGCCTGTCAGAAATTAAATGCTGTAACCTTTTCTTTGCTACACGCAGGAATACATTCAATTCTGTTTCCACTTTGGTCCGGCGGGATAGTTTCACTAAAATCTTTCCTATGTACACCTTGCTCATGGGAAGTTGTCAGTGCATTCAGATGTTCTGTGCTTCACACTGTATCGAGAGATTGCAGTCTCTGTCAGAGCATGGAGTGCCCTTCAAAATTACTGGCATCCCAGGAAGAGGTGTGTAAAACACCCTTAAAAATACTTTTTCATTGTAGTATTCCTAAAAATGTGAAAGACAGAAAACATGCCATTCAAGTAATGTTTTTTTTTTTTTTTTTTTATCTTCTGGATGACAAGGAAATCTCCAAAGCTCACCGTTAGAAAAATGCAGCACAACGTGGTACTGAGGTCTAGTGGACTTTTCTGTCCTACTAGCACAAATGGAAACATGTAAATATGCTAATTATTTACAGTTGGTGAGACTGAAGTTGTAACAGATACTCAATAACAAATTATTAAATGTTTAAGGTGGCTTACGGTTGTTTTATAATGTCTCCTGGGATTTTAACTGAATGAAACTAAGAGCTTTTTTCCGACAAGTACTCCAGGTGGGTTGAAGAGACATGATGCCGTGAGCCTGCATGACATTATAACCACTTTCAAATGTCTCAAACATTCAAAATAAAAACATGATCAAATCTTCTTGTAAAGAAATTATGGATTGTCACTGAGTCTTTCAGCAGGATAATAATCAACACAGAAATCACCGTTAAAATCTTTTATGGCTGCAAATAACTGTGGATGTTATTTTGTAGTTTTGGCAGGTGGAAAAAATAATAACTTAATTTGGTTTCTCAATGTAAAAAGTAAAATTACTTCAACCAGATGTTTGTAAAAAAAATAATAATAAATGTATAAGAAAAAAACTGGAGATTATCAGGAATTTATTTGTAGATGACAGAACTTGATTAACCTGAACTTTGTGGCGTTCCTTGGTTAGCCTCTTTAGAGCTTCATTTCATGCAGTGATCAAAAATATCAGCCTTTCACTATGACTATTTTTTTAACATTCTGACACAATACTGCATGAATCATTATCAGGTTTTACTTCCAAAAAATATTTTAAAAGGTCAATAGCTCAAAAAACTGAGGCACGGGAGCAATTAAATTATTAGCATCGCACAAATGACTAACAAAATTCAAGGTGAGAGGCAAAACCTAACAGTAGGTTTTACATTTTCCAGATCTCTGACAGTTTCAGCTCCAATTAAAAAGTCCAACGTCAGTTCAGAAAGAAAAACTGTAAAAATTTATGGCAGTCTTCCCAGAGGGTTTTATTTTCCCCCCACTGCCTTCAGGTTCTAAAGAATATGTCTAAGGTAGCAATATCAGCACCTAATTGGTTCAGGTTTCTCACAATTTAAGGTATTATCCATCTTTCTGTCATACGAGTTGTTTTTTATTAAGCACTTCTGTATGGGCACTTTTGCTTAGTATATCCCAATCCTGTTCATTCAAGTTTCCCCATAAAAAAAATGTTTGAATGACATCATATGATAAATGCTCAACTCAATAGTAACATTTAAACAGACATCAGTAACTTTGGAATCTACTAATAGTTCCTGTCAAAGATTTTTGCAGGAGGAGCGGTTCTTTGCAGTTTTGAAACTTCCAGGGTGTCAAAATGTCCTTTCTATTATTCCCCTCCTTGCTGAAGGCAATGTGTCATCTGTAAAGATGTTTCACACAGGTATCACTGCGTTTAAGTCTCACTTTTGCTGACCGTGGTACTTTTTTGTAACGTCTGCCTGGCAGAGTGTGGACAGTAATGCACAGTCACAGTCATGGACTAAAATGACAAAATTCTGAACTGATATATTTGCTGAAGGACAAACCAAGTGCAGAAAGGAGTTAAGGTCCTTGTGGACTTAATAATATAGATTTTTTTTTTCAATTATTACTATCTCTAAACAACTTTGTTCTTAAGTATTGAATCTTTGGTTTTTCATTAGTCGAAGGAGCTGTTTTTTTTTTTATTATTGTAGAATAAATGGAAAACTTCATCAACAATTAGGCTATTTTATTGGTTTTTAAATTGCACCAAAAAAAAATCAATTCGTCACATTCCAACCAAATGTCATTGTATGTTATCGAGATTTTAAATGATAGACACACATAAAGTGGTGCACAATTGTAAAGTGGAAGGGAAAAAATAAAACCCCTTCTTTAATGCCCCAAAACCCGTAAACTGAACACCTTCAGCTGTAACTAAATTACTAAAGTGAGTCCACCTGTACGTGATTCAGTCTTAGAATAAATACAGCTCGTCCATTATGGCCTGCTACTTGTTAGAAAATACGAGTGAATGGTATATTAACCCTCACATTATCTTTAACGAATCATTCTCATAGTTAAACATGGTGATGGGTGGGATTGGAGTATCTAAGTTTGCTTTTGCTGAAAATTGCAATGTTGATACCAATTATGATTTTCTGATTATTTTTCTTTCTTATTATTATCACAATTTTCCACTTCACTCTCTGATATTTGGCATCTCAGCCACTCAAAAGCAACATCAGCTGTCGGCATAAAGAGCATCCGGAATCCGTCAAACAGGCCAAATTTATTACCAAAATGCACCACAGCTGAAATATATGACCTACCAAATATTGAATCCAAGCTTTCATTTGCAACTGGAACATTGCACACACAACCAAAACATACCACCAGAGCAAAACAGAAGGACTTAACCAAAAGCATCTTCATGTTATGGAATGACCCAGTCAAAGTCCAGACCTAAATTAAAATGAGAATCTGCAAGAAGAAAACGATGTTTATGAATGTTACCAGTCCAATCTGAATAAGCTTGAGACAAGAAGAAAACACGAATTGTCATGTTACTTTGTAATTACGTACTGATTTGTGTTGGAGTTCGACATAAAACTGTAATAAAATACATTGAAGTTTACGGTAGTAATGTGATAAAATGAGAAAAAGTTATAGCGGTTTGAACAATTCTGCGAGGCGGTATATGTAGGCAGTTAGATAACCGTGTCCCTAAGCAGCTTGAAGGAACAGGATACAACATAATCAGGCTGACAATTTCACTAAATAAAAAAAAAAACAAGAAGTTATCTTAAAAACTGCTCAGGGGCTTCATTTCACAAAGACAATTAAGAACGCGACTGCTAAAAGTACTGGCACATTGTAGTTTGGCAGCAATCATCCAGCTCCTTTACGACATACATAAACCTTTCTAAAGTTTTAATTGGAAATGCTTAGAATTTACTCTGACAAAGCACAAAATCTTAAAAACCCATAGTGAAGGAAAAAATATGTTCATATTATTTGTTTTATAGAAATTAAACCCATCACAGCTCATTTCATCCAGCTCACACATCTACACACTTTAATACTTTTGCCCTTACAGATTGATCAATAGGGTTTATAAAGTAGTGTTTATGGTATTGAAAGTGGGAACGGGAACCGCAAAAGGACATTTAGCCAAGACAAGATCTGTTGTAAATATTGTGTGTGTTTTACTAAGGAAGGTGGTGTGTGAGAATATTTCTTTAGGGATGGAAAGAAAGAGGGGTTGTAAAGAAACTGCAGTTATTACAAATGTTTTTTTTACTGATCAGCAGAAGCTTTGGCAACCAAACTTACAGCCACATCTATTTTAAAAGTGGATCAAATCCATAATACATAAAGCTGAGCTCACTTAGCTGAAGCATAGACATGACTTGATTATTATGGTGTAGCCTGGGTGTTTTAAACTGCTAAAGCTGTTCCAGCAGCTTTAGGACTCTTTAATGACAGAGTAGGAAGAGCGCAGATGACTGGGGTTATCTGCAGCTGTAGCTCCGCTCTCCCACACCTGTTGCTGTGCTGTGATGCTCAGCTGTCTGAATAAAGATCTTTTAACAAGACACCAATTTGACTATTTTTCAGTTGTGAAGAGCATGAACAGTCGCGGTGTGAAAGCAGAGTGAGCAGAGCATTTTTTCAACTCAACTTTTTTAAAGTAGAGTTGAAAACTGTGATTTGCCTCTCTGTTAAGCAACAGACTGCAGGTTAGCTTTCTGAGAAGATTTACTAACTAAAAGGCTAATATGTGCTTGTTATTGTATCACTCTTTAAGACTAGAGTAGCAAAAGAGGAAAAGATTCTGCACTAGAGATGTCCCGATCAGATTTTTTTTCCTGCCGATTCCGATTCCGATCACGGCCGATCACCGATATCGATCACATAATTATTATTTTTTTAATCATAAACACTACCGGTTACATTATGTGGAAAAAGGAACCATGAATTCACCTTAATTTAGACAAAAACTTGTTTTTAATAACTTTTTCCAAGAAAAAAACAAAACGGGCATTGTGCAAATTGTACTGGTACATTAACTGTGTTGAATTTTCTGTTAAATGACAGTAAAATTTTAATTTTGAATCTGTTTGAAGACTCCCAAGACTCTAACTGAAAAATAAAATCTAGCTTAAATGAACAATAACAGATTGTTGTAGGACTATTTGATCAACTTAAGAAAATAGATAATTTTTTTAATTATATAGAGCTGAAATTTAGTTATTAAGGAGTTTATTTGTCTCAGCGCTTCAACACACATCTGTCTTTTTTTAATGCCACGGTCTCCTCTCTTTCCCATTTTGAAGAGTGGCTAATGGAGAGAAATGGATCTGTGTGTGTTGAAATAAGTATATCACAAGGAAACAGGAAGCACGGGATATAAGATGTATTGACACTCCAGCTTTAAAATATAAAGAATAACTTAAATTTTAAACTTTTTCATTTTTATAGGAAGGTCAATTTCAATATACTGATCATTTTGGCACAGTGGAGTTTATTCCCGCCCTCTGAAATAATGCACATATATTAGAGGTTGTATTTTTTTTTATTCATTCAACTATTTATATTTGTAAGAATCCACGGTGACATTATTTTAAACCTGTTCATGTGTCTTTACCAGGGACGGTAATAACTGTCATTCCTGTTCTGTAGCAGGAATGAAAAATAACTTTTGTTTCCCTCATTTGAAATCCATTTGCTTAATATTTTCACCAATAACATTCCCAAACCTTGTAGGGCACTGAAAACATTCAAATTACAATTTCAAAAGGAAACTTTATTTCTTTTCAATGTCAAACTCCTCTGTATCCCTAAATGAAAAGGCAGCCCATTTGGAGAAAATCTGTAATTTAAAAAAATAAACTCTGATTAGTCCTAGGATGATTTCCTTCCCAGAAACAACACAACATTCCTGTCACCTTGTTTTTCCTGCAATCACTCTTTCCAGTTTGTATGTTTTTGTGCATGTGTGCGTTGGTAACTCACCCCAGCTTGTCCGTCAGGTCCCACAGCACATTGGCTGTTGGCATTAGCGGTGAACCATCGTATAAAACCACCGAGGCCCCCACTGCCAGAGCAGACACAAGCCAGTTCCACATCATCCAGCCAGTCTAAGAAAACACACATAGACACAGATCCATCCACGCTGATGAGTTATCTGAAATAAACACTCCTTTTGTCATCAACATGGATAAATGGACGACTCCCGCAGACAGCGATTCGCATGATTGCGTTTCTCATTTGGCAGCGTGCTGCGGTGCAGCTTTGGCGGCGCTCTCCGTTGGTACTAATAATGCGAATATTGATTCCACTTTGTGGAAAAAGCATCTGCAGGGCTAAAACAGCGGCTTTAACAATACCAAGTAGTGGCGACACTTTTGGTCAGACAGTTGATCTCTCTGTTGAAAGTAGACTAATCGTCAACCTCAAGCAGAAATCAAAGTTTTGCGGTGATTTGGGACTAGTAGACAAAATGAATTCTTCACAGCCAACGTATGGAGACTCAATAATAGTTAATTGCTTCTAAAACTCAATAAAACAGAAGCTTATCATGTTTTTAAAGTTTCCATAGTTTAAACTTGTACATTTTATGGGCTGTGGGCCACAGATTGAGATGAGAAACCAAACAATTCTCCACAAAAATCCAAATATTATGCTTTTAATTTGAAGAAAACTTTTTCATTTTCTTGATCCAGGCTACAGAGTTTTAACAAGACATGGACTGATGCATTTCCATACAGCACATAAAGTTCAGTTTGTGGGAAACATAGGCCCCTTTGCTCTCAGGAATTACAACTTGAATTTAACTGACCCAAATAAAACATAACAATCATAAAATCTAAAGTTTGACATTTTTTCATCAACGTGCTTCCATCAGTGGTGTCCAGGTTTGTTTATTTGGCCAGTAATCTCAAGTCCAAATGCCACATACAACAAATATACAAAAGAGTTTTAACAGTTTCAGAGGAACTTGTGAAATGTGACTGCTGTATTATTACTTTCTGTATTTTTTTTTTATTTTTTTTTGCGGTTCCACATCTGCCGCCTTCTCCTCTTCTTCATCTGCTTCTTTTCAGAGTCCCACTCTAATATTGGAAGCAAAAGCCTCCACTTACATCCCATGCATTGTTGGACAGATTTGTCAGACTTCTCTGGCATGATTCTGCTGCAGAAATAAATCATATTTTATGATTCTATCAAGATATAAAATCTTGATAGAATCAAGATTTTGATAGAATCAAGATTTTATATCAAGACTGCTCAGGATGATTTTTAATCACAAAGTGTGTGCCAGGCCTAAAGTCTAGCTCGATTTCTTTATTTTTATTTTATTTTTTTAAAGAGTTTAATGATTTCCTGAAGATGTATTCTCAGTTCTCCTGTCTGCTGAACACTACAGGGAAGTTCCTTCTGTTCAAAAGGAGGAAGAGACGACTGGCTACACATTTACTTTCTCAACAGCGCGCCATCGCTGACGGCACACATCAGGACTCAAAGGGGTGTAGAACATGAAAACAAGTTCATAAACCACAACAAATTACTTTCAGTAATTATCCAGTTATTCATACTCATACCCGCTTGTGTGGGTCCTGTTTTCATTCTGGGTTCGTTCACATTGTCTGTGTGATGATTACTTTAGATGATGGAATTTAAAGCCGAGCCATTGATGCAATGGTGCTTATGAACAGATTATTAAGGTGATAAAGTTATGGTGTTTTGTTTTTTTTACATAGTGGCTGTGATTTAAACGTTCATATTGGAGGAAATTAAAATATAGTCTTAGCACTCGATTAGGCTTAGATATCAATTTATTTTTCTAGACACAGCTGGACATTATTGGTCAAAATAAGCAATAAGTTCTTCAGGTGGGCGGTTGGTGGTTCTCTAAGCAATTTGTAATAACTCGGTTTGTTGTATCTGAAGTATAAAGACAGGAAAAGAAATGTGCGACACCACAAGATCAATACATGAGGCTTTGCTCAACAACTAAATTTGATCAAAACAAGACAACGAGGCTCCAATTAGCAACAATCCCGAGAAAGGAGATTCTAGCTGTTGCTAGGCTTCATGTGCACATCAGTTCTGAATAAGAAAAGTGCGGAAATGATTGTCTGGGCTGGCAGCATGAACCCTCCTCACAGACCTGCTGCAGTGAAACGGGAGTGAAGTGTGTCAAGATGTTATCATAAGATGTCACAAACGTTTGAAGCCTTCAGAAACAAAAACAGTTTTATAGAGCAGAAAATCTTCAAGTTGGCTTTAAAACGTTGGACGATTTTAAGTGTAGTAATTTCGATACAACTTACAGTAGTGTAGTAGATGATGACGTCACTGGAGGTCAGGTTGCCATGAAGAATGTGTTCTTTCAAGTGCTGGATGAGAGTGCCCTGAGGAGACGAGGAAAACGAGTTGGTTTGCTGAAGAACATTGTGTTTTCTTTGATCATGAGTTACCATTACCGACTTATCTATAAGACGCTTTTTAAAACAAAAGGTTAGCTTTACTGTAGGGAAAGAGAAAAAGATGCAGAGACGAAGATCAGAAATTTTATGGCTTTACAAACAGAACAGAAGATTAAAACAAAAGAACAAATAAAGTTGGATCAAATAACAGAGCTCCGTCTTTAATCTACATACTGAATATACAGAGCCCAATAATATTATCAGGACTCCCTGCAAAGATGTGTACAGCTTTAGTACAAAAATGAGATTTTAAAGGTTTTTAACCTCCTTTAACCATCATTCTGCAAAGTGGTGGCAAAAAACAAAAAAACAAACAAAAAAACAAGTTGGTGTTGGGGCTGCAAGGCAGCGCAGTTGGTAGCACTGTAGCCTTGCAGCCGAAGCTCCCAGGTTTGAATCCTGGCTGGGGTCTTTCTGAACGGAGTTTCCATATTCTCCCTATGCATGCTTGGGTTCTCTCTGGGTACTCTGGCTTCTCCCCATAGTCCATCCCCATAGCTTGACTGTTAAGAACATTTTTCTCTCTAATTTGTGTGCTGGTATAATTAATGGATTTTAGGCTTTTCACACATCTTTACCAGGCGTGTCAGTACTTATTATGGGTGCTGCTTTATTTTAAAACATAAAGATTTTCCAGTAAAATGTGTAAATAAAATTTTCCCTGTGTATGCTGTTTGTCCAAATAGCACAAACCACAAAGTCAGTGCTTGTAGCCTCAGCCTACAGTCTGTCTATGCTTTGTTTAACAAACCAAACTATTTGCGGAAAGGTTCGGGTCTCCGACTCTTCACAGCTGGTTAGGTCATTATTGCTGGAGGAGAGTGTAAACTGTTGTGAGCAATTGTGCATTTTGGGTCTACGGTTCACCCTTTTTTTTAACAGGTGCTTCACCTACACGTATGTGAGTGTGTGTGCGACTTTGCACAGAAACTTTGGCGAGGCTCAGTTGCCATCCCCGCCGTTTGGTCTGTGCCATTTTGCCACTGACAGGATGTTAACAGAGCCGTAACAAAGCAGAAAGCAGAACAGTACCACGGCTAATTGGCTGAGGCAGTGAGGACTGCTACTGTCACAATACGACACGTTTCCGGCAGCGCATTACGGTCCAATTATCGTCCGGATGCAAAGAGGGAGGAAGCACAAAAGAAAGAGATGGGAGATGGGGACAAAGGGAGGAAAAAAATGCTAGGGGAGAGAGAAGGGAAAATGTGTGGATAGGGAGGGAGAAAAATATCTAAAAAGTGAAGAGGTTTAGATAAAAAAAACAAAAAACAAAACAAGAAACAATGCCAAAGTTGGAAAGACTGAAACAAGAAAGATTATTTTTTTTAATGCCTGAGCAGGAGTACTTTAATTAAATATGAACAGTGTTATTTTTATGTAATACTGTCATTTTAAAATCTCATTTATCTGCCTCTTAAAGGGAAAATTGTCATCCAACCATTCAAAGCTTGCGGAACAAAGAACAATTGCTGCGCTAATGGAGCTCTGCTGCCATCTTGTGGCGATAGAAAGTATGATAGAAAATTGTTTCGTTTTAATCACAGTTGTTCTGTGGATACAAAGTGTTATCAGTCAGCAAATCACACAAATTTGGACAGCTTAACTTCCATCAGTTGCTTAGAAAAAACTGTGTAGATAGAAGCAGAAACCCCCTGAAGTAAACACTAATTAAATAAAATATTCTTTAGCATCCAAAAACACAACCCTAATGTGTCAACTGTGTGTTGTGTGAAGTCGGTGTAGATACATCGACTTTAAAAAGACTGAATGAAAGTAAAAATTTGCAGTGCTGTGAGCAAATATGTGCCCACTTTTGGATTTCTTACACTTTGTGTACAACATGTTTCACCCATCTATCCACCCATGTTGGAGATTGGCAGCAGAGATTGCTGCCAATCTCCAGCAATCACTGGACAAGAGGCAGGTACACCATTGACAGGTCTGCAGTCCATCACAAGACAGAGATGTTTCACTTAAAATTAACTATTAAATCAGACAAAAGAAAAAAAAATTGTCACAACGCTGATGCACTGTACACTAAGAGTCAGAGCAGACTCCAGGGGTCTTTTGGAGTGCAGAGGGCACTACCAAAGACCATTTTTTGACTCTGGAGGCATCGGCAGTCTTCTACAGTGTAGTCTGTGAGGACAGTAGCTTATCTACAGCTGAGAGGATTAGATAAGCTCATCAGGAAGGCCAGCTTTGTGCTAGGATGCCTCCTGGATCCTGCACCAGTGGAGGGAGTCAGAGCAACTGAAATAACATCAGTGTAGGACAAAGTCTCACTGCTATGGATGAAGCTGTTGCTGAACTGCAGACCTCCTTCAGTAACAGACTGCTGCCTCCCAGCAGCTGGAAGACTTGTCAACCATCACTGCTCCCAAGAAACTCAAACTCACTACATGTTTACATTCCTGCTGTTATTTGCATAGTACTCGTTTAAAATGTCTTAATTGTCTGTTGCTGCTTCCTATACTTTTTAAAGAACTCTACATAGTTGCACATTTCATTGGATTTGAACATGCTATTTTTAATACCGGGCCAGTATAATTTCTCCAGTATTGTAAACTTTCATTTTCTCTGCAGTTTCTTATTCTTGTTTTTCACTTTGCTGCTTATCCACATAAATTTCCCCATCGTGGTAAAATAAAGAATATTTCTATTTTACAATTTTCTATCTAGGCTGCGTCATAATTTTCAGAAGAAAAAAAAACTATTTGCAAAGAGTCTTTTATATTATCATGAAGCAACTTTCATCCACTCTTTTGCTCATGCTTTTCTGAAGAGTTTTAATTAATAAAGGCATGAATTGTGTGTTTAATGTCTTACCAAGGCATCTCTATCAAATTTCCATACAGACTTTTCAAAGAGTTAAGATTTGTACATCTTTAAGAGTGACAGATGTCAAAAATGTTTTTTTTTTTCTCATCTGTTCTTGAATTTCTTTAGACTGGGGAATGATGTTTGATGACCTAAATCATTTAAATTTTACGGAAAAAACAAAAGAAGAAAAAGTAAGCAAGCGGGAAAAAGCTCTAAAGTAAAAACATCACATTCAAAACTTTTTTAAGAACATCTCTGAAAACAAGTGTCTTGTTTTGCCATTAAGAGCCTCACTGGACTCAGGAGAAACACAAAATGAGGCACCATGCACGTCTTTTTGCTAATTTACCATTTCCACAGGAGGGTACTTGTCTTCTGCATTACTACTGGCACAGGCAGAGATTTTTTTTTTCCATCTTTCAATGCTGGTTTGTTTTACAAGATTAACTCTGACATTTGAAAAACCACAACAATTACATGTGGTAGTGGGTTAAGCGCTGCACCGCCATGACAATAGTTAGTTGTTCCCAGTCAGCGGTCGGCCATAGTTAGTCAAATTAAGGTTAGCAGGCGACGGGTTAATTCTAAAAAAGGATTTCAGACCCACAGAATAAAGGGCTGCTGACATTGTTTATCGAAACAAACAGGTAGAGAAGAACGTGCTGGTTATGAAATCAGCAAAAGGAGACGGAAATCCATAACAAAGGTCTTTCCAAGAGTCTAATTCAACCAACACATCAAACAAAAAAAGAAAAGCTATTTTGTGAACATATAAAAAAACATTACAGAAGCATTGTGGTTAAAAGTTGGATCTTATTTTCAGGAATAGAAAAAAAAATTCCAACAGCTGAGACCATAATAAATGAACAAATACAAAAAAATCATTAGTATTTTAAACCAAAATTCAGACATTGCAGGTTCCCAGGAGAGACTCAACAGTATTTCAGCAAGCAAGACAAATAAAAACAGCCTGAGACATTGACCAGTCAACTGATGCGTGATGAATAGTTTTTTTTTGTTACATTCAGAGATGATTGATTCTTACCCCAGCTGAGTGGACCATACATTTAGGAGCTCCTGTAGTTCCAGAAGAGTACATGATAAACAGAGGATGGTTAAAAGGAAGCTGCTCAAACTCCAGCTGGGGGAACTGGTCGCTGTCGCCACAACAAGATGCCAAGAAGTCATCCAGGAATTCACTGTACAAATAAGAAAACAAAAAACGAAATGAGAATTACCACCTTGGGAAGGATGCTTGGAAAAATATTCCAAGTATCCTTTTTCTAAAAGACAAAAACACACACCTGTTGGGAATTTTGGAAAGGTCAGTCTCTTCCTTGGACAAAACGTAGGGAATTACAACCACTTTATTCAGGTCAGGTAAACCTGAGATGGCAAGAAAGAGGAACAGATATTGGTGCTTTTGTGTTCTCCACATATACAAATATGTGTCTAAAAAGCAGAAAAGATAATGGATTTCCAAGATGGAAGCATTTATTGTTCTCATAAGATCTTCAATGGATGGAAAATAATTGCTTAAAAATTAGCAATATTAAATTCTGACCATTAATAAGCCTTAGTTGAAGACATGATTCTAAGTTTCTTTTACCCCCCCACCCCCAAAAAAAGCAAAAACGCTGGATTACATGAAAAGATACCTTTCACAACGTTTCTCAGCTTTTCCATGTGGTCGTGTGTTTTTCCATTGTACACCACAGCAGCAACTGAGAAGATCAATTTGGGCTGAATTTGAGAAAATCTGTCAAGGACACCCTGGAAGGGAAAAAAAGTAAAGAATTAAAACCAGTGAGTAAGGACAAATATTGGACTAAAATAACTTTTGATTCTACAGAAATATTTATGAAGGAAAAAAAAATGTGTGTTATCAGTTTAATGCAAATAAATCCATCCAATCCTCACATTAACTCCAAAATCGACTGACGTGGAGCTCCAGATGGCGCCGATGCTGGCTGCTGCTAGCATGGCTTCCACTGCATGGATGCCGTTGGGCAGGTAACCTAATGAAAGACAAGATGGAGGGGAGAAAGGAGAACAAATTAAGAAAAGTAGAACAATCACAGGAGCACTCCTTGCATTTGACATATTTTTGCAGTCAAAAACACTCAACCAATGGATAAATTCACTTTCTGAAAACTAATGGGTGTGTTTTGAACCAAAAGATAATCACAGACAACTGAGTTTTAATGTACACTTATCTCACTTACCTTCCACCTTACTGTGGAATTGATAAGATAAGCCTATACCACAGGAGGCAGTATATGCCACTGCACACTAGATTTATTTATTTCAGAAATGATAGAAGTACAAAATCACACACGTGAAAAAGGAATGCAAAAGACGGCATGCTCAAAAAGGAGTAGGAAGAGGTAAGAAACTTATGAACTCCTACCCCATAAAGATTATTAGAAAAAGTCAAGATTATAGGACATAAGAGAAAAATGAAGACAAGAAGATGATAATATGTGACACTTGAGGGACGACTAAGAAAGTATGAGAGGTAAAATTCTTTATTGTTTTGATGATGAAGTCAGTATCATGACTTCTTAATTAGTGCTTAAAGAGTTTTAGTTAGTCTTAGTTTAGTGTGTTTTAAGCATAAACGGAAAATAAAACAAAATGTTAAAAATAATCCTAACCAGGGGCAATATTTCTATTTTTTTTTCCTCCATTAGGACAAACAATAAGACATCAGCTGTCTAGTGGAAAAACAAAGAGCAGTAATGAAAAATGCTTGTCGTGAACAACGTTTATTTTCCATCTCAGCACAGCTCCATCATGACTCTGCAAGATTCTCAATCACATTATATAAGTAACAACTGAAGCATCTGTTGCACACAGATTTGATCTGAAGTTTTATTTCACCGGAAGAGAGTCTAAACTTTATTATGTCATAAAATAAATGAGACCACCCATGCTCAACATGGAAGCTCCTGAGCCACCTTTAAACAGAGGGCTGTCTCACTGATAACGTATATCTAATCTGACTGACTAAACCTATAACAAAGCCAGTAGTTCCAGTCTGAATGGTCAAAGGCAAACAGAAACTGCACCGTGACGTCTGATGAATCATGACTTATCAGCCACGTCTGCTCGCTGCGCCGACTCCCGCTGTAAGCAGGAAGCTCATCGAGGCAGGATGACACGTTCGGCTGACGGATCACCGCCCTGCTCCACTGGCTCCGATGGCTCATCTCATAAATTACCCTCTTACTGTTGAGCAGGAAAAATTGCATCATGAATCCTGATCTCACTACGACAACATGCCTGTGTGGCTATTGTGACGAATCACAGTCTTGCTGTGCTGTAACCACAATGTTGATACGTTGATGGGAAACCCTGGGTTAATTATTCACACATGCATAGTTTTCTAAACTCTAAGAATTTTTAACAACTGGTGTTATAGTAATGCTTGTATTAATAGATGTAAATATTTTTTTTGTAACAAAACTATGAAAAATATTATAATTTAGGGATACATTCAGATCCCAACAGCACAGAAAAACTTTAGCAGTATTTGACTTTACCTTTTACACACTGACTCCATGGACATGTTTCCTATTAGCAAGTCTTTGTTTTAATTTTGACAATAAAAAAACAAAATAAAATTAGATACTTTTTAGCCCTTACAATCTGTTTAGATCTAACCTAAACAAAGACAATATAAGTCAGACTTCAGCCTCTTATCTGTCATTCTTTTACTCTGTGATCTACAAGTTACTTATGTCTCACAATCAACTGAAAAGTCCCAAACAGCACGGGGTTGAAATTGAACCACCAGTTCAAAGCCCCTGGTTCATCTCAAGAGATTGTCACAAATTAGTAAGCACTTTGAATTGTAACAGCCCTGTCACACTATTATGTAACAGTCTTTTGTTTGAATGGCATTTGAAGACAACATATCTTTCCTGTATCGCGTCTTACGCATTTAACGCTGTGGCTACACAATTTTATCACCAGTCATACCAGCATGACACAGACTTTTAGAAATGTTGAAAATGTCCATACAACTTGTATAGTTTGTTGTTCAAGTCATAGGATTTTAATGAAGTTGACACAAGCTCATCGCTTTAGAAAACACCATTTTACATAATAAGTCTGCTAATGTTGCTTGATTTGACATTTTTTCCACATTTTCATTGATAGAAAAACGCTGAGGTTTTATAGTGTTTCAATAACACAACCTAAAAGGATTTGTACTATAAATTGCAGAGAAAAATAAGTGGTTGCGTGTCGAAATAGGTTTTTAAACACTGTGCAGAGTTATATTAGGCATGAGAATGGTAAGGAGAAGATCAATATACTTAAACGCTGCATGAATGAAAAATGTCTATGAGTGTGTGCGTGCGTTTGGCCAGCTTCTGTTATAAAGCAAAGCTGATTTCATCAGCTAAGTGCCTATATATCTTCGAGACTGCAGACATTGACGACATCGAAGATGCAATCTGGGGACAAGGACATCTCTGTGTCCAACACACATGCACCACAGTGAGGGAAATTATGGAGATGGAGGAAAAAGAAAGTGTAACCAGAACGTACAGAAGGTAATCAGAAGGTATTTTAAAATATTTAGTTCAAATCTATCTGTAGTATAACCAACCAACCAGAGGTTCAAGGGTGGTTGGTTTGGACCAATTGGTCAACAGTTGTTGACCAAGATTTTTGGGCAACAATTCTGTAAAAATAAAAAAATTGTACCGTTTCGTATTAAAGCCTGCAAAGCTGTTTTCTGGAGTCTGTTCATTGTTTTGTTGACAAAATTAATCTGGCTTTTACTAAGAAAATTATTTTCACACTTCGCAAATATATTTACAAGGAAAGAGAGTCTGTTTTGGCTGCAGTTTCCTGTCTGCCTGTGTGATGTCACTTCCACTGCACAATGTGCCCTAACAACTGTCCCTAGTGGTAGATGACTCAGCGGAGAGCAGCTGAAACACTTTGGCACACTTTAGTATATAAGTCATACATTTTCACTCAGCTATGCAAAGCACTACATTTATGAAGCACAATAACTTTTAATCTACACTTTGTCCACACGATTAACTGCAGCCACTTTGAAATATATTACAACCAAGTTATCAACGAGTCTCACCAAAATGAAAAGTAAAAATTCTAGTGTTAGCTTTGCACTTAATACCAACTGCTTTGCATAAAAATATTGTCAGGAAAAACAGGATAGGAGTTTATTTTTAGGCCGCAGCTGTATTTATCAAGTTATACCTTCAGAAAGAAAAGAGTCCTGCTGAAACAAAATATCTATTTCTGTCAAAACAAAAAGGATGCTGCAGTGTTCAGAAGGAGTTAAATGGGATGTGATAACAACATTAATGTGCACTGAATATTGCCGGTGAAATTTCTGCTAATTCTACTTTAATCCTAAAGTAAAATTATGCGCTTTAAAACATACCATTTAGCAACAAAAACCTATTGCGCATTATTCAGACTGGTAAGAGAGACTAAAAATCCCAAATGGGTTTTTCTTGATTGCTGGAAAGTCATTACATCACTTAGAACTTGACTCCTTTACACGTCTAAGAAGTTAAGATTTGAGAAAAATAATTTACCTGAAATCTTTCTTTATGGCACAACTTAAACAGAACAATATACATTCCGCCAATGCCGACATATGAAAGATATCAGTTGATGTTTGTTGTATGACACGTCTACTGTTGGTGCAGATTAGTTAAAAGTTCAATTCTTTCTCAAGTTAAAATTGAACTGAACTCATTTTAAATCTATTAACAACTTTTTATTAAAAAAAAGGAGAAAAAAAAAAAAAAAAAAACTGTCAGTTGGCTAAAGAACCACATGTGAGTAATCAAGCTGAAAGTTAAGCCGAACATTTAAATCAGGGGTCCCCAAACTTTTTCCTGCGAGGGCCACATGACTGTTCCTTTTTCTGGTCGGGGGCCGGTCTTAGTTTTTCGAGAAAGAAACCTTAGAAAAGTTTTGTTGATGGGGGTGGGAGTGGGGGGTGGAGGGAGAGTGAACGCCGACGACATATTCGCGTTTGTAGATAGATTTTTACCCAGAATGCAAATGGAAAAAATCTGTGAGCGAAACGGTGACTGGTACTGACTAGTATATATTCCATTGAGGGAAACTAAGTTCCATATCTGCTCAAGAGCCCCCCTGGTGGTTGAAGAAAAATCCACATATATATGAAAAAAAACACTGAATGCTCTCTGGTATTGTTCAGGGGGCCGGACCAAATGAGGAGGCGGGCCGGATCCGGCCTGCGGGCCGTAGTTTGGGGACCCCCGATTTAAATTATACCACACTAGGGAAGGAAGACACAGATAATATGGACTAAAACATAGTGGGTGGTTTGTGTTGTTTTGCAAGCCACTATCTCCAAGGCATGATTAAACTTTATGGCATCCTAAATTTTGATTTCTTCATAATTTCATCATTGCACCTCACTAAACTTGACTGGAAATTCCTTCCCAACCAAATAAAATCTACAGCCACAGAGTTGATATTCCATGTGTAAAATATATATGAGACACAATAAGTCCCCAAAGCTGTGTCCATTAGTACTGATAAGTCCTAAAATGCAGAAATGGGTCTCTGTCCCAACATTCTGCAAATTAAAATAATGATTTCCATTTCAATACTGGAGCATATTGAAGTGTTGGGTTTCTTGTCATAAATGTGTGCTTCTGTATGAATGTACTTTAACAGCATGTGCTGAAGTAAAAATATGCAGCCTTAGCCATCCCTCCTTGCACACATATGAACTTTGAATGAATAAATAGTGACATTCAAAGAGAGCTGCAACCAGTGCCAAAAAAACACCCACCCTCATTACAGGAAGTACACCAACACATATTGAACATTTCAGAAAAAAATACCCAACTCTTTCTGCAATGTGCAACAAAGGAATAAGAAGAGAATGTCAGCAGAGGTAAAAAATTATATGACCCAAAAAGTGCAAGTCACTTACAATCCCCAGCAATCCATATCACGTGAACTACAAAGTTCAATAAGTACGATTGTGATTTTATATGATGACTCAACCTGTGTAATGGTGGCAAATGGCAAAATGTAATGTTTCAATTGTTGATTTTTGTGATTTTATGAAGTAAAGCACTTTGAACGGCCTTGTTGCTGAAATGTCCTATACAAATAAACTTGATTGGTTAGGCTTGATAAAGTACAGCATAAGTGCAGGAAGTAAAATTATTAATGCTTTCAAATTTAATTAGAAAAATAAAAAATGTCAATATGCATGTGTATGTAACCCTTTCACAGTAAATACTTTCTATAAACACCTTTCGCTGCAAGTCTTTGCACATCTGGGCACTGAAAATTTGCTGAATGTTTTTTTTTTTTTTTACAAAATAGCTCCATCACATTGGATGTTGAAGATCTGTGAACATCAGTTTGATTATGTGTTTTTTGGTTGATGTGTAAAGTTGTTGTATTTTCTGACACAAATAGCATTCTGTGCACAAACCAGAAGTTCAGCCTCAACTGATGAGCATTAATGCACTTGTTTGCTATGTTGCCTTTTTGGCTTTGGGAAAACTTCAAACATGACATTTTTAAGGCTTTCCTACAGTACTAACTTTTTCTCCAACCTGAGCTGTAACTCCTCCAAAGCCTCTTGGTAAACAGTAAATCAAAATATTTGTTTACTAATCTTCTATAACAAACCTCAAAGGCTGTCTCAGATATGCTCTTCACTAATTAAGAGAATTAAGTGAAGGTCTATCTGAAGCCGACTGGTTGAACTGGAATTTATTTATGCTTATATTCTCTATAAGCATCAGAATATAAAGGGGGTGAATATAAATTACACACCATATCTTTGAGATTCACATTTCCAAACTAAAAAATATAAAAACTATATACCACTTCCTTTTGCTTCAAAACTGTTCACTGCTGTGAGTTGATAAAAAAAAAAAATAATCTCAGAATAAAACATTGAAGTGGTTAGAAAGCGATAAAAAAAACTTCACAGTTATGAACACAAAGGACTGTAACAAACCAATCCGAGAAGTTTTTGTTTTCTTTCCAGCTAAAAGACAGATGGTTTCACTGAGACTCACCTACAACCCTGTCTCCAGTCTGAATGCCCATCTTCCTCATGGCTGCAGCAAACACTGCCACATCACGCCTCAGCTCCCCAAATGTGACCTTTACGATCTCCTCCTTCCCTTCCCCTGTTACACAGACACAGAAACAGAATTAATACATGAACCAAGAGACAGAAGAGTGCATACATTACAAATACCTTCAGTACAAATGACCAATCTGATTGGATTTATTTAGGTTTTAAAAGTCGTTGTGAATAAGGGATTGCTAAATATTGTTACCCACCAGAAAGACATCTAAATGTCAAGACAGACACGACAGATAACACCAACACAAGAAAATATCACAGGAAATAAAAGTGCAGGTGAGTGATTATCTGGTAAGAACATCACAGCAGACAAGAAAACAGACCCCATCTCTCTATGCCATATCTTACTGACATTTACAGAGGCTCCACAGCATCCTGACCAATGGGTATTTCTACAATTACATTACAGCTCCTCAGGAAGGCTGGGCATGTACAAAACACTCTCCAGAGAACACACACACACAAATAAAGAGAGACCTATCCATTAGTAAGTGACATTGAGAAGCAGGGAAAGGAGCAGCAGTTAATCTAATAACGAAATGACGCCACCACACCGACTCAAGTGTTCCAGAGCACCCTCGACTCACTTCTCTCAAATCCAACCTTCTTTCTTTCTCCTGTAACATGATGCAGTGTTATTCAGCTCTGCTTTATACGTCTACCTACTTGCAGCATAGAGAGCCACTTTGTCCTGGTTGGCATGCTTAAGCAGGTTCTCTGCGAAGTTGAGTCGGGCTCCTTTAAACCACTCTGGAACGTCTGAGATCCGCTTGGATACGTCCACCACCTGGTGCGACCGGCCCCAAAAACACAGGGGAAGGAAGAGTCAAAAACCGAATCATTTCAGTCTGTTCTGTCAAGTTTCTCTGACTCAGTAAACTCCCATGTCAATATTCCAATTTTGCTTATTTAATACTTTTCCAAAAAAAGGAAGCTAATTAAATGTAAATGTCCAAACAAGCTGCCAGTGAGGGAACAGCCCGACCCACAGCGCATCACTGCTCCAAAATGACTCATTTACTGTCGTACAGTCCAGTCTGCCAGGATGAATATCAGAAGGACTACATCGGGTAGAAAATGTGGTCATTTAGTGCAGGGTGATGTAAAATCCATGTGTACAAAACAGGTGTGTCAATCCTGCGTTAGTTTATTGCCTTAAAGTCGTGTCAGCATCCTGAAACTACAGATTATCAAGATGACTAACAGCAATAGAGGGTAATAGTGGGCATGACTACTCTCACAATTAAGATCTGCATCAGAGACGTATGATGACTTCATTTTAATGTAGTTTAATGTCTTATTATATGAAATAAGAGGAAAGTATGCAAAATGAAAACTGATTGCAGCTGGAATTTTCAAGAACCAAGCAGAATCTGAAATAATTTGACTTTTGCTTTATATTCGACTACTTTTCGGTTGTGCTTACCTCTTCATAAGGTTTGGAGCTGACAACTCCACAGAAGCGCCACACCTCTGCCCAGAACTCTGGATACGAGTCCACAGACCACTGGTAGAGATCATTGTAGTTTGCTAGAAGACACAACATTTGAACTTATGATTCTTCTTGGAAACATACCACCCATCTGAACACAGTCACACATCAAGTACCATTTCCTGAAACAGTCCTCAATGAAGTCGATGCCTGCAGCAGAACCTACAGGTCATGGGAGGAGTACGACAAAAATGGGTGGCAAAATTTTAAGAAAATATTTACACTACAGACGAAACTATAACGAAGAAGCTGACCGACTCTCCTTTTAGTGACACTTTTCCACTACACAATGTCCCCATCCCTCTTTTCATGAACCTTAGCATTTCAGCTGCAAACAGTAAGGAAATGGATAATATATTAAGCAACATTTTTCTACCCGTCGTTACGGCTTAAATTTTTCATGAAAAAAAGGTTTCTCACAAAAACAAACAGGACTAGTGCAAGCCACAGTACTGACTAGAAAACAATGGAGCACACAAAAGACAGGAATCACCATGGAGAACCAGCATGTACTACAAAAATGTTGCTTAATATATTATCCATTTCCTTCAAATTAAGAGTCTTGCTCTTTTGTAGTGTAGATTAGATTAAAAGAAGGTTTCAATTTGCTAATTGCCTTTAACCAGTCAAAAAACTGGATTTATATATGGTTTCTAAATAAAGCTAACATATGTGCTCTTGAAAATAATAGAGTTCAAGTTCTATTACCTGAAAGAGGTTTCAAATACGTATATATACATATTTAATACATATATATTGGATTAGGATTTGCGCAAATTTCAAATTTCTAATTGGCTTACACCAACAATTCACAGGGTTGGTAATTTTGACTTTCAAAGTAAGAGTTTATAGATACAGTTGAAAATTAAAGCCTCACTCTTTCATTGGGGTAGATTAATGTAAAAAATAAAAAAATTAAAAAAGTCCAGCAACTCATTGAAACAGTTAGTGGTTGTGGTCTGCCTTTAGTACAACTCTGAGTCTAAAAGAAATACAGATTTTTGTGACAACCATTAGTACAAACAAATTAACTGTCACTTAGAGCTTATATGCACCAACAGCGAGAAAATGAATTATTCAAGACAAGTACATCAATATTTACTTGAAACAAACACCTCAGAGGGAAGTATTGCGGAAAAACCTTAGAACTCCCTCTACAAACTGAAGCGGATGAACAAGAACAGGAACAAGTGCCTGCTTAGGTTGTGTTCCCTTTATCTCTGAAGCAGGAACTTTGATCTGGGTATGATATCAGATCCAATGTAGACATGTTCCACTTCCAAGTTTGAAAACAGTGAGAGAGGGATTGGATCATTTATGTCCTCAGTGACCAGGCTAACTAGGGTCAAGATTTTCCTCTGCATTTTGTCCTTTCAAAGACTGTAGTAACATGTTAACTAAAACAAATTGTGTTTGTTCAAGACTTGAGATGTAAATTCGAAGCATGGTAGTGGTTTTCAACTGAAGCTAGCTGCACACTGGTTGAGTTGTTAGCACTGTGCTTTTCATCAAGGAAGTTCAAAGTCAGGCCTGGGGTCTTTCTGCTTGGAGTTTACATTTTCTACATGAGAATGCATGGGTACTCTGGCTGCCTCACTTCGTCAAAAATATGACTTTTAGGTGGAGCTGGAAATTTGAAGAAATGATGCAGCACCAATTTAGATTACTTTGGTTTGGTTTGGTTTGGTAACCAATTGTGTAGAGACATGCAATGCAACCAGTCCGCTTTGTACAAAACAAAGCTTCATGTTATGAAAAGTTTGCAAACATCACATTGATTTTATAAATTACAAATTGTTTAATAGCTTCTTCTTGTTTAATGTTTATCATTTTCACCAACATTTATGCCATAGATAAGTATTAAGACCTCTTTCAGCATCTCTCCTCGATAATGGCTTTCCATTCACTGTCTTCATCGGGTTGTTCTGCATTCCACAGAGCAGTGTCAGTTTTCACATTTGAAGCAGGCCACTGTGTTTCCTCGCCCGGCTTCTTCAGCCTTGACAATCAGGCCAAGCTACTGTTACAATCTGCTAATTACAACTAAAAAGGGGCGCGGCGAAGAGATTGGAAGCCCTGCTTAGCAACAGACCTCTGATGCTGATTCTTCCACAAGTCGTCTAGATTTGGCAACGTTGCACAGTCACGTAGGTGTAGATGTTGCATGAAACAATGCTAACAAGTAGACAGCGCCTCTAACTATTTCTATTTTCTGCAGCTCAGTCTGCAGCTTCGTAGGCTCAATGAAATCCGACTTAGACGGTCTCTGACACACCTACAAGGAGCCTGGACCATTCGTCTCCCTCCCTCCTCCCCACTCACCCAGATTAAGTCCGTAGTCCGAGTTGACCTGTATCCTAAACTTGTCCATCTGTGTGTTCCTCTTGGAGTCCGGGTACCAGAGCACCTTGCTCTCCGTATCCATGATTGTCTCGTCCTTCCCTTCCATGTCTTTGGACATCCTTGTTGCGTCCCTCTTCACAGGAGTCAAAACACCACGTAGTCCCGAGCTCCTCACAAACAACTGACAGTTCCAGGAAGTGCGGTGAGGTATTTAATGGGCTCACCAGCTAGCTGCTTCGTTTGAATGGCTCCAGACTGCGGGACTCGGCTAGATAACGTACAGTCAAAGGCAAAGCGTGAGGGGATGTCAATGTAGCTTCGAGACCACGCCCCCATCGTCATGACGTAGCCTGGCGTGCTGGGTGTTCAAGATCGAAAGTGTTTGAAACTGTTGCGTGTGATTTAGGAAGGCTCTTCAGAAATCCTTAAAGCGACTATTTTACATAGTCAGAAAAGGTGAAAGATGAACTATAACAGTTGCTATGCAGAAGATTCGAATTTGGCCAAATAAAATTATCTCTCATTCACTCACATTACTGCATCACATCAAATAATATTACTCAAATAAAATCAAAATGCACAGTGCAGGGAAAACTACTAAATTGACTTAAACTAATTTGAAGTGTCATGAAATTCTAGTTTAAGATGTATATGTTTTTTATTTTGTTGAAGTTTCCTCTACCTGCTAGTCATTCTTACCTAAAAAATTCTCACTACTTTATCCACTTCAAGTTACTTCATTAAATGATAAAGAAGCAGGTTTTAATCGAAAATGCACCACACTTCTGGTTTGTAAACAAGTTTCATTGTTCTACTGTTGTTTTATTTTTTATTTATTTTATTTACTTAGCCTCACAAATTAGAACAGATTAAACATGCCAGTCGGTTGCCTTTGTACCAAAGACGTATTTACTCTTCCTTGAATAAGAAAGGCAGCTTGCTGTAGAAATCTTGAATGTCACCCGCACGTGAACGCGCAGAGGTGATGATGTTGGTGTGCGCGCGGGAAACTTCTCCGGGTCACTGATTGGTCCTTAGCAAACTGGTTCCACATCAGCCGACAGATCGCTCTATGCGTGGAGGCGTAACTCCAGCGTTAAGCTGCTCTCTCTTTGCTCAAAGAAAAACTGAAAGAGGTGTTTGAACTGCAGCTTGTCAATCAGAGACCTAGGACGAGGGATGAGCTTAGGGGTGTGACCAATGAGAAAGCGGAGAAAATACCCTCCTGTTGTTCATTTGATCCCTCTAATCAGGTTTTTTAAGAGTTACATAATGTTTTATCCAAACGTTGCTTCACTCGTAAACTCCTAAACAACTGATGGCTTTGTCTGTATACCACATGTGCATTCTTCGTATAGGAAGTGAAAAGAAATGACTGAAATATTGTAAGAATTTGAATTTTTCTGACAGATGAACATGCTTTAATCTAAACCAAACTTCATGGTCACATGTTTCTACTCTCAATTCTCAAGTCTTTTACAATCTCCAACAAGTTTTGTTTTAGGAATTGCTTTGCTTTATCCAGCCTGCCTAAGAAAACCATCCTGATAGCATTATTTTTGCAACCACCTGTTCTGAGCACTCTGAAACATCATGTTTTCACCGCCATCTTCCTATATGTTCATGATGATGCACGGTATTGGTTTTCTGACACACATAACATTTTGTAGGCCAAAAATGTCAATTTTCTTCTCATCTGACCAGACCAACTTCTTCCACTTTGTTCCCTTCAAAGCTTTTGGAAAGTTTTTAAATGGATGATGCTTTCTATTACCGATGGTTTTCTTCTTGCCACTCTTTTATCAAGGCCATGCGTCTAATTATCAGATTCTTCTAATCAAACTGTGGCTCTCTGTATTCTTCTGTGTTTTAGGGTGTCATACACTTAATGAGGAAAACAAGGTTTATTGGGTCTGTTGAGTCCACAACATAACCAAATGCATTAATAGTAGTTCTTTGTGAGGAGCTTGACTTACTCTTTTAAATCTTTTGGGATGTTTTGGTCATTCTTTGTTGTTGTCAGCACAAATGCAAGACTATACATGGATTTGGGCATTGTATTTATGTTTTTATTTGTCTCTAAGTGCAATTTGAATATGATTTCTAGGTTATAGCCTCTAGCTGGCTCGACCGGAGGGACCACATAGGAATAACCAGAATAACTTGTTGACTGAGCCTCATACCACTGCTGTCTCACAAGGACAAACCCTTTCCAATTTGTTGAGAAAAAGAACACAATATGCAAAAAGAAAAGAAATTATTGAAATGCTAAATACAAATGTCTCATATGGGGAAGCTGACCATATAGGACTTCTTATTTATCAATGGAAAAATTTATTTAATCCTCTCAAGTCTTGAAACAAACTTTGCTCTGATGTCACTGAATGTGTTGCAGTTTATCACATGGATTTGTATGTTAAATAAAAATATACATTTTTAAGAAGATATAGCAGGCAAAATATTTGCATGTCTACCGCTTACAATTTAAGATCTGCCCTTCTTGAATAAAGTAAATATTATAACGAGTTCTTCACACAGACAGATGTTGCTGTAAGGATACCTGCATTTACTAAAAATAAACTAATTCAGACTTACAACAACCCATTGCATGTGTTGACCTGACTTAAACGCCTTTGATGTTGGCACTTCAGGTTCCGGCTCTTGGTGTACTCTACCTGTATGTACTCCATAAATAATACACAACAATACACCACAGTTTATTGTTTGTCTGAGTAATGCTCTATCACACCAGTAACTCAGGTATTCTCTCATCAAGCCCACATTCCTGCATTACAAACCTTTTGACACATACTCAACAGAAGAGTTGTCATTACTTTTTCAATGCTGCCCCCTCGAGGAGACCACGACTTTAGCACATACCGAAATGGGAGAGTGAGGTTGTACCGTATCCATCCTTTAGATGGCAGCATTGTACATTATATTTTGTGGTACGCACTCCGATACGATGAAGTCCAAATAGATCCTAAATAGACTGCTTAAAAAAATAAAGGGAACACTCAAATAACACATCCTAGATCTGAATGAATGAAATGTTCTCATTGAATACTTTGTTCTGTACAAAGTTGAATGTGCTGACAACAAAATCACACAAAAATCATCAATGGAAATCAAATTTATTAACCAATGGAGGCCTGGATTTGGAGCCACACACAAAATTAAAGTGAAATGTTCCCTTTATTTTTTTTTAGCAGTATATATTTAACAGGCAACAGAAAACCAGTCACCAAGCAGAACGTAACCCAACACAGAACTAATTCGAAATAGCAAATCAAAATGTGTCAAATAAAACTTTCCCAAAGTGTGTTTTGATTACTTCCCACAGATTTTTCGAAAGTGTGGCAAAGTCGTTGGATTAACAGTGGATTTTAATTTTCATTCAATCGGCTGCTCATTGTGGTTTAATCCTAATCTTTAACTGAAGTGTACATTATCTCTGATTGATAATAGACTGCAGCACTAAGAGATATCAAGAAAACATCTAAAAACTGTTCCCTGGTAAGAAGTAAAACAATACTGATAAATATTTTGTCAGTGATTAAAATACTAGAAATACATATCTGTGATACGGATATTTAAATACTTAAATATATGTTTCTTATTGAGAACATAACTTAATTGATAAATACATAACTCATTTATTTATTAATTTAATTTTGCGGGTCTCCAAAACACCTTTGACTGTCTGATTATTATTATTATTATTATTATTATTATTATTTTAATTAGTTTGATCACATTTACGATTTATAATTTTTTTTTTGTTTGTTTGTTTATTTATTAGCTATTAAGATTTTTAATTTAAACGAAGCACCTGATCCCACGCAGGTCCTCGTCAGGTTTTTAAGTCACATGATTGAATCGTGTTTGACGTCATTTTCACTCTTCACGGAAGCAGTCGGCGCCGATATGATGGCTGCTTCGTCAGTTTAGCAGTAGGAAGAGGATGTCTGCATTAGATGAAGGACTTGTATCGCCTAGGTATAACACCTTTCACTAACTGAATAGGCCGCTGGAGAGTGTTTCTTTTGAGCCAGCAGGGATTTCGGACGCTCATTTCCTGTTCAAGGGGCGGCCTGAAGACGGACACCGGATAAAAAAATGTCCCTGTTTCAGTCGGCACTGGATTTCTTAGCCGGGCCCGGCTCGTCCGGAGGGGCCAGCCGGGACCAGAATGACTTCGTCGGACAAGTCGTTGAGCTCGGTGATATGAAGCTGAGGATAAAACGGGTGATCGCTGAAGGTGAGAACTTGCTCCACAGCCACGGACGTGACTGTCACGGCTTGCAAACAGCCATGCTAGGTAGCTGAAGCTAGCTATCGAGCTAACAACGTCAGTTGAGTTGGTTAGCAAATGGAAGCACCGCGACTCACCTAGCAAACACCAGGAGATTATTTGGTTTCGATCAACTTTGCATTAATTGTTGAAATGTGGATGTCGAAGGAAAACGCATTTTAGTTTGATTTGTTCGTTTTCGACTCTTGAATGTCGCTGGATAACTTCGAGTCATGAACCTTGACAGCTATTTACATGTTTTGGCAACACACTTTATGTGTAGATGTGGCAGCAATAAAGTAACACAGATAACACTAGGTTTGGCACGCTTCCTGATTATTAGATTTCCACAAATAACTAAAGCAATTTCCGATATTAGCTGGATTGTCTCGCCTAACCTTAAATGCCGACAGCGACAGTTGGGTTGCATTTGAAACGGGGGTTAAATGCCAAAATAAAAGTCATGCAAATTTAAGACTTTATTTATCTCTAATATATTTTTTTCCGTTTCCCTTAGCACAGGTCCGTTTTATCCCCGTTTTAATATGTACACTTAAGATAGGAGACATGTGGAAGCGTGGAGATAAGTGTGTTTTGATGTAAACAAGTGTTTTCTGCAGTCTATAAGGGGGCCTTGCAGTTTCGAAAAGAGGCGTTTTATGAGCATACAATTATTTTTTTCTTACCAGTCTGACCTTTTAAGATTGATAGAAATGTAACAACCTGACATTAACTGCCAATGAGACATGCTTTTAAACAGCAGTTTGTAAGGTGAATCTTGCCAACTGTTGTTTATAAGCAGTGTTGTATCAATAAAATTAAATGCTGGCCCACATTTAGTTTGTGGAGTTGTCTTCCCCATTGGTAATATTTCCATCCATCCATCCATCCATCCATCCATCCATCCATCCATCCATTTTCTTTACACCCTGTTGCTGGTGCCTTTCAAACAGTCATATTTGTTATTCTTTGTAAGTGAGGTGAAAGTATTGCAGCCTCTTTTTCCCCCAGTCAGCTAAACAAGAGTGTGCAAAACTAGACTGCAGCACTTTCTCTGGCATGTCCTTCATAGGAATGAAGCTACAATGCAAAGCATGCTGTGGTTTTGAACCCATGCATTTTTAAAAGCTTTGAAATACTTTGATTGCGCCATCTTGCCCATCACCTTCCTGAATGCAGTGCAAATAGATCTAAATACATTGCTTGAATGCATTGGAATGTGCACCTCCCAGTGTGACGCAACTTATTTAGCAATAAATGACTGATTTACTTTAACAAAAACGTATTTTTGATTTTTCTTTTTACACAACTATTTGTATCCTCACCTGTAATCTAAGAAGTTAATAGTCTGTTAATCCTTCTCATGCTTTCTCAAGATGAATTAGTCCCAGTTGAATTATAGCAGAATACAACAAATTTTACTGATAAATGTTGTTGTATGCGTTTATTGCTCCTTAAAATTATTCCTAGAAAAAACCCCAGAAAGTTATTTATCATGTTATCATGTTATGACATCATAGACACCAATAAAACGCTAGGATCAGTCAATGCATCTGACAACAATGTTGTACTAATGTTATCAGACCGTCCAGTGCCTTAACTGAGCCGGTCCTGGACGGCCCATCACAGGTTAAACTGGTTGAAGTGGAGATCGTTTTACACTAAGCCCCCCCTCCCCTTTCAGACTCGCGTCCTGCTGTCTGAAAGGTTCCTTTGTTGCTCTGCACCAAGATCTTTGGATCCTTGTACAATAAATGGCTCCAACCAGATGTTTTTTTTTTTCACCTATACATTTATTTATTTACAAATCTACAAAAGATTTAATGAAATGAATTTCAAAAGATCAGTGAACAGAGAAGTCTTGCAGCTTAAATTGGAAAAAAGGAAAAATAGATATTCCAAAATTTCTGCCTTCTGTTGTTCAGGCCTGCATTCCCACTGTGATGTTGCTACTTTCATTCCTGCTACTAACAAATTGGGGAGAAAAAAAAAAGTCTGTTGCTCTTTGTGCCAACTATCAACTACATTTGAACGCATTGTTAGTCCTCAGCTCAGAAATTGAATGAGCTTGTTTTGTCCTGCTCATGTGAAAGAAGTATGTGTGACTATCGGGTTACTGGGTTGAATCCCAAACAAGGTCACCGAATCAGGCCTGGGATAATGAATCCGTCTTACACACACCTGAGCAGCCAGCAGCCATCCTTGGGTAAATAAATCGTTAAAGATTAGAGACGGGCAGCTGTTCCTTTAGTCTTTTTTTGCTGAGGAACTCAAGGCGGGTTGTTGATTTACTCATCGCTATAGTGACCGTACGCTTCACCTGTTTGGATTATTGAGATTTATTTATTTATTTTTTTTTTGTCTTCCAGCAGTACACACTTTTACATTTGGAATAGGAATTTAACAGTTGTTATTAAATTAAACAAGTCTAATTATGATTATTAAATTAGATAATTTAAAAAAACAAATTTAACAAAAAAATAATAGTAATTTCAGTTAGAAGTAATTTTTCTGATTTATTTTAGTTTTTTCAATGTAAACTATTGATTTTTGTTGAATCTCATCTGCCTTCCAGCATGCACTAAAATGAATTCAAACACACAATTTTTTCTTGTTGCTGAAGTCCAAATGTCCCACAGACTTAATCCATGCAACACATAATACCATCCTGTCCTGCTGTATCCATTGGCGGCAGACAGATTATAGTTAGTAAAACATAATTCTTCTTGCTGTTTGAATATAGCCTCCAGCTTAGAGCTAACCGCTCGTAACTGAGTTTTTTTTTTTTGTAACAGGCCTTATCGTAGGCACTTGAGGTTTAAGAAATTAAGCTGGTGCCAGAAAGTTTGCTGTGTTTGTTTTTCAGCGATTTTACTTCGTTTCAATCTAGTCTGGTGCAGCAATTCAGCGATCTACAGATAAGACTGTGGTTGTACCGTTGTAGACTAGACAAGTTTTTTGTGGGAGGATCGTTAGCTGAAGTTCTGAGTACTTTTTCTGATCATGAACTGAACTCGATCCACTGTGGAATCAACTGTGTAGAAACACTTTGCTGGATGAGTTTTCTTCTTTGGTCTGTCACCATTTTAACTCTGGGAATAATCCAGTCAGAGCAAGTTAAACTTAAACACATACAGTTTATTTTTGGACATTATTATGTTTGATTGCATCACGCATTATAGTTGCAATACACAAAACATTCCAGATGTAAGTTATTTGCCTATGAATGCCACAATAAAATCTAAATATGCTATTATGTCTATAGTTTTGCTTAATAGTTTTTTGTTTTGTTTTTTTCTTTTAAGGTGGATTTGCTTTTGTGTATGAAGCCCAGGACATGAGCGGTGGAAAGGACTATGCTCTGAAGGTAAGACGAGTTACCTTCAGGACTGAATATTTCAGACTGATTTGTTTCTAAGTATTGCTAGCATGTACATAGAAATAATTGTTTGGAATCAGTGATTCTGTAAGGCTCTCACCGGCTGATATTGTCAGCTTTTGAGATCTTCATTTGTTCATCTCTGGAGATGAGATGATGATCAGCTCCTTAGGAAAAATAACTCACTTTTTAGTCTATATTTTCCTTTCTGTTTCGAACTTTTTCCACTTTTAAATCCCTTGGATATTTAAAAAAGCTTCACCTGCTTTTCAAGATGTTAAAGAGAGTTGAGTGGTTTAAACTTCTTTTTCATATTATATTCTGTTAAATCTGCGCTGTAGACACTCTTATTGCTCCTCTTTTATGAGAATGTTGAAACTTTCTTTTAAAGTGTTCATATGGGGGGAAAAATGTCAAGTTCAAAGTTTTAGCCCACTGCTTGAGCATTTTGCAACACACTTTTAACACTAATGTCAATACATGTTGTAATGTCTACTGGAGCAGTGGGAGATTTTGTGGTCGATTTGACATCAGTGATTTTGTAAATCTCTCAGCGGTTGATCCTGGAAGCTCAAATGATCTTCAGCTGTTTATATCTGGAGCTGTGATGACGTTACAGTGTGTGTGTGAGGATTACAATACACAGCACTGAAGTTAAACAAGTTTTCACTGTTATTTCAAAACAAAGACAAAATTATTGCATAATTGATTTGTTAACGTTTTTACAGTGGCATCCAGCACTCCTACTCTGGTTAGCATTACTTTATTTGTGTTTTCTCTGTAGATGCAGCAAAACCATGTCTTAGATGTTGGGATTTCAAAAAGATAGTCATATAAAATGATTAAATAAAACTTTTTGTCTGCACTTTCTGAAAAGTATCGCTACAAATGATTATTATTATTATTATTTATTAATTTTTTTGCATGTTTTTGTTTCAGAGGCTGCTGTCCAACGAAGAGGAAAAGAACAAGGAAATTATACAGGAAGTCTGCTTCATGGTATGATTGACCATACTCTATTTCTCTTAAGATTGCATTGGAAATGTCTGCCTCAGTAGAGAGCAGATGTTGTCATGTGAAACAGCCAAGTTAAAATCAAACCCACATGTTTGAGGTTTGTGGAACAAACCTTGGGTTTGCAAGCTGGTTGTACAGAATTATCTGCTTATTTTATAGGCAAAGCCAGGCGTTACATTTGCAATTCAAGAGTCGAATAACAGTATTAATAGTAGTTGGTGGTAAATCTACAGGTGATTTATTTATTTCTTTCATGTGTGAGGATAATGTATCTCAGACCCCAGGAGGTTATTAGTTAACATTTGAGCCAAATGGAGGCACAGCTGTGGATATATTTTAAGGCATCAGCTCTCATACAAACTTCCTCATGCGACTTTCTGTAAAAATAATATTTAAAAAAAAAAATCAGAAAGAGAACCTCTCTGAGGACCTCTCCAAATCTGGTCCATCTTTGGGTCTGACTTCCAGCTGAACTGAATGTGCCATGTTAAAACAACTACAAGTATAAACAGCATGGGAAAGTCCAGCCATCATGCCATTCACAAGACGAGCTCTGTGCCCGAGAGATGTGTGTGTTTTGTGGTGAAATGTGTGTATCAAGTCCAGAACAAAAGGAAACCCTTTGTGAAGCTGCTGGCTGTAGAAGAGTATCCTTCTCCCCAGTGAAACAAATACAGGTCCTTCTAAAAAAATTAGCATATTGTGAGAAAGTTCATTATTTTCCATAATGTAATGATAAAAAAATTAAACTGTCATATATTTTAGATTCATTGCATACCAACTGAAATATTTCAGGTCTTTTATTGTTTTCATACTGATGATTTTGGCATAAAGCTCATGAAAACCCAAAATTCCTATCTCAAAAAATTAGTCTTCAGAGTCATGTCCTGTGGTGTGATGAAATCAGAGCTGTGCGGCCACACTGACTGCTGTTACATTTGGAGAAATAAAAGAGGGAAGCTTGCATTCTTCAGAGCTCTATCCCAACTGGGTGGTATAGGGAGGGAAGCACAGCAATTTGTGGGGGTGTTTCTTTGAAGCAACATCTTACAACATCAGCCAGGAAGTTAAATTTCCACCCTGCCAAAGTAGGTGTGAATGGTTGGGATTACAAAGCCCTCATTTCAGTTCCATAGATCATTTTTTCTCAGAAATATAAAGGTGTTTGTGAGAAACGGCCTACAGACTTGACTCAGTTACACAAATTCTGTCGGAAATATGGACTAAAATTTTGACAAACTATCGGGATAATCTTATTGATATCGAAAATGTTTGACCACAAATTATACAGATTAAAAAAAAAAATAAAAAAAGTCTACCAAAAATTAAGAAACAATTTACAAAGTTCTGAATTTGAAGACCATTAAAATTTAAAACTCCTACCTGACATTTAACAAAAACCATATATTTGGTGATGCTGACTGACTTAAAACCAGGGAAGTTTAGTCTGATTAGCCTGGAAGAAATAAACTTGTCTCTTTGTACAGTGTGCTTAAAGATTTAGTTTCAACAGTTTAAAAAAGTCAAATCTGAGAGCAGGCCTGACATCACAGCTCTGTTTATACTCTGCTCCTTCACCCTCTGGCTTCTTCTAGAAAAAGTTATCAGGTCATCCAAACATGGTTCAGTTCTGCTCAGCTGCATCAATCAGTAAGGAGGAGTCGGACACCGGGCAGGCAGAGTTTCTGATCCTCACCGAGTTGTGTAGAGGTAAATACCGACTCCCACTTCTGCACACAGGCCTTTTCCTAAGTGTTGGTACATCTTCCTCTGTCTGCCTCGTCATGTCGGGCTCCGGGTTTACTCATCCATCCAACGTAGTTGTGTTAATTCGGATGACGCTGCACTTTCTCAGGAACTCAGAAGGAACTGGTGATGAAAGTCTCCCTTTTTTGTGGCTTTTTCATTTCCTGTTCTGCTTCCTTTTCTTGTTACATATGCCCTGGTTTTCATTCAGCAGGTTTTACAACTTTATTAGCCTGCACCTTCCTCTTTAAACAAAGAGTATGCATTAATATTCAGTTGTCTTTTTTAAAAATACATTTTTCATAAATTTATGAAAAATAAATTTATGCAAAGCAGAGATTTGCATCCAATATGTTTGGGTTAGAAATGTACAAAGGAAGTCAAAATAAACTAAATTTGCTGCAATACTTGCATAAAGTCAAATCCTTGTTTACTAAAACTTATCTTTTGCCAAAATAACAAAACAAGAAAACTGCAACATGTTTGAAATATGCACAATTATTTTCTGTACTGTATCAAACACAGTGACTGTCTTGTAAGCTATTTTCAATCAGAGTAATCTGCAGACTTACTGCAAGTATGTTAAAAAAATAAAATAGAAAGCACATCAATAAAACACCTTGATTCCACATAGCTCAGATTTTAGTCAAATGCAAAACACTGTGGTAGATTCCTCCCCGTTTTCTATTCATTGTGTAAAATAAATACTGAACGCATTTCCTTCGTTAAACTGCGTACATTTTGAGAAAGATTTGAACATTTCTCTGAACCGTTGGTGTTAATAAACGGCTTGGTTTAAAATGGGAAATCATCATTCACATAAATATGTTTGCTCTGCCTCAGGTCAGCTGGTGGACTTCATAAAGCGCGTCGAGCAGCGAGCTCCCATGTCATGTGACACTGTGCTGAAAATCTTCTACCAGGCGTGTCGAGCCGTGCAGCACATGCACAAACAGAAACCTCCGGTCATCCACAGAGACCTTAAGGTCGGTCGGCTCTGAAGAATGATTCTTTAAACGGGCGTAGAATGATGAGCCTGTCACTGTGCGGTGGAGCTGAATGAGACGGCCTCTGATGTGTTGCAGATTGAGAACCTCTTGATTAGTAACCAGGGCACCATCAAGCTGTGTGACTTTGGCAGCGCCACCACAGTGTCACATTATCCCGACTACAGCTGGTCTGCACAGAAGAGGTCCATGGTGGAGGATGAGGTACACACACACACACACACACACATACACTGCTCTAAATAAAAAAGAAACACTGAACCGTTGGATACAAGCAGGAGTTACTGATGTTCTGTTCCTCCTCATTTCCACAACCTGTTCCTGTTTTCTTTTTCTCTTTAAGTTGTCGAAGGTTCTGCTCACATAATGTGACAAAACTGCCCACTGCAGGCACAAATTCCTCAAATTTTTTGTTTAATAGAAATCGTTTTACATTTACCAAGTATTGTGCTGCTATCAGGTTGAATCTCATTACTCACTGAACTAGTTTGAATTCTTAAAAACACCACTATGTACGTGTGATTTACATTTTTTCTCTTGCAAGTTTTTTTTTTTTTTTTTTTCAATAACGCAACGCAACATAATGAGCAAAATCTCATTTGTACTGGGGTGCACTAATGCAGATTAATGTTTTATTTTTTTATTTTGGCCTCTCTGAAGGAGCATTAATTGATAAATAATAACAATATTATGGGTTAACATGCATTTGTTAATCATATTAAGCAGCCATGTTTTCCTATTTTTCTTCCCCCAAGAAACAAACAAAAAAAAAACAAGACAATATATGCAGAACTATTTTTTTAATAATTTAATGTACCAAAGTGACAGTTTTAATAAATGTCTCCTATGTATGTAAAAAAAATAAACTTAGGTAAAGCCTCCATTTATCTCACTGAATCCAGTTCCATTTACACTGGAACTCTAGTAATGACATCTTGGTGTTAAATAGGAACCAGAAATGTTTGATTGAATTGACCAGAGGAAGCACAGATTGATTACATTAATGCTATTAATACCATAACCACACAGAAACATGCACAGAGACGAGAAATTGTAAATCTAATATTGTCTGCTAATGTTTCCAGACCAATGATGGTAAATATATGCTAGAGCAGACAGCTTGTATGATGGCGTTGTAGATGAAAAATACCTAATGTTATCCTTTTCAGAAGTACACAAGCGATAAGAAAATCTTGGTGAATTGGATAAAAAAGTAGTTTTTACTAATTTATTGGAAAATATCTAAAACCAACATGGCTGGTTTATATATCTGACTGTATCTGAAATATTTTTACTTTTTTTTTTTTTTCGCTCTGCAGATTACAAGAAACACCACTCCAGCATACAGAACACCAGAGATGATCGATCTGTACTCCAACTTTCCCATCAACGAGAAACAGGACATCTGGGTCAGGAGCTGGAAACTCCTTACTTTTTCTTTTTTTCTTCTTCTTCTTTTTTCTTTTTTTGCTTCACTTTTTATTTGAAAGTAAATTGAATTCAGAATTTCCACTTTGACCATCTGTTCTCCCATGCAGGCTCTTGGGTGCATCCTCTACCTGTTGTGTTTTAAGCAGCATCCTTTTGAGGACGGAGCCAAACTGCAGATAGTCAATGGAAAATACTCCATCCCACAGGACGATGCCAGATACACTGTGTTTCATGACCTTATACGTATGTGCTGCTACTTGTTCGTGATTCTCAGACTGTGTAATATTTACAGACTAGGAATTTTTTTTTTCTTCTTTTTTTTTTTAGTATAATTCTGCCTGCTCTATTTTTATTTTCCCTTTTATTCCTTTTTTCTAGGTTCCATGTTGAAGGTGAACCCTGATGAGAGGCTATCCATTACAGAGTTGGTCAACCAGCTGCAGGAGATCGCAGCCGCTCGTAACGTCAACCCCAAGTCTCCAGTTACAGAAGTGAGTGTTCAAGTAAAAAGTAGATATCAGTTAGTGTATTTTTGATAAACCGTCTTGATTGGCTAAGACTGCTCGACTGTCTGTAAGCCTGAGAGAGTCACACGGCCCCTTCCGCTGTGTGCCTCTCAAATTGCTGATGCGGTTCCTTTTACCAAGTCTCTCATGCAACACATGCACTCGGTGGAGGCACAAAGGAGTCAGTTTGCTCCTTTTCTGGCTTCTTTCTTACTTGCGCCCACAGCTTCAAATAGGCAGACACTTGGAGGTTTCTGTGAGCTGAATTTTGCCAAAAACATGAAATGATTGTAGTTTGTTTAGTGGCATTGTTGTTGTCCAGACAGAAAACATTTCTTATACTGGCAGCACAGTCGGTTTAAAATTTCAGTTTAATCTTACGATTTTCAACTCAAATCCTTGTACTTACTGTGAAAGCTGATTTCAGTTTGAAATCTGCAGGTCTTACTGGGACTCATTCCTCCAACTTTTTGATCTGCAGTAATTCCCTCATTGGTCTTCAGTATCCTCCACTAAATATTTGCTACAAAATAAATTACTTGTTTGGTTTTGGCCAGCAGCAAAGCAATTCACCAAAAGTTCACCTGAATCTTCCTAAATTTTATGCAAAGACCTGAATCCAGACCAGACTGATGAGTGTGTTCATGGGAGGTGAGGGGGGGTGTCGGTGGATTTGGCGATCGCTGATCTGATTAGGGCTAAGAAACGGTTTCCCTGCTGGACATAAGGAGATTACGATCCTCCTCCACTCTCCGCTGCAGTTCAGTGGAGACATATGGAGCAGCAGACTGAGACGTAGCAGAGAGGAGACAATTAAGGAATGGAGCAGAGATGGAAACGCAGCGCCGTCGACTCGCAGTGAAGAAAGGCGTGAATTCAAACTGCTTGCATTTTTAATTTGCTCAACATCGTTTTGCTGATACTTTTCAAGGGTTCTTATTTTTCATGACATCTTCAACTTTTTCTTCTCATTAAGCAGTTTTGGTTGCCAGTTTTGCAGTATTTTTTATTTTATTTTTTTTTTTTTACATCTTCATCATTCCTGCAACAATGTTGAGTACATATTACTGTTGGCGTCCAGTTTATGATGGCTATGAATGTCTGCAGCTGCTGGAGCAGAACGGAGGATTCGGAAACAACGGAGCGCAGCCACCCATGCAAATCCAGAGTGTCCAAAACAATGCAGGTAAGTCCGGTTAGTAATGTTGGGATCGCTGAAGATTAGGGGGTTTTATGCTTTCACAGACTAGCAGAATATCCCTAAATCTCTAGTGTTGCATGCAAACAAAATGACAGATTACATATCACTTTACAAAGAGGGAGATGTTTAGGAAGCATGGTTACCAAGGCTTTAAGTGATGGTTTCTAGCTTTGTGTCCCAGTATTCCTGGTAATCTACTGAATATGTTGACGTTGCAGTGCGTCTTCCATGAACCGTGAAAGCTGGCAGCTTTAGCTCAACTTCTTTAAAGGACATGAACAAAAAACATGGACGAGAGAACAAAATGGATGTTGAAGTCAAGATATTAAAATGCGGAACTGGGCATTGTCAGTTTAGTTTTATTTTTCTACATTGAAGCTGGTTGCTTCACGCTGCTGGTCAGCTGGCTGAAAGGAGGCAGCTATACAGCAGGGTTAGTAGGAAGTCAGCCATTTGTAAATATTTCCTGTTGCTAAAATAAAGTCATGGTGCAAAAACTGACAACCTGCTTTTACTTAAAATTACATTTGCTAAGCTAAGAGTAGCATTTCTGTTAAGCAGCTGAGAGCAGTTCAGCTACCTCAGCAGATAGCCTGACTAAAAGTGTAGTTATTACCACATTCGTAATAATCTTTGTTATTGTTTTATAGACTGTAGGAATATTTGTTGCTAGACCATGTTTTATGTTTTGTGTAAACAAGGCAATGATGTAAAATTGCCATTTTTACTGAAGGTTTCTCATTCAGAGAAACTCCGACTGACCCAGGCTGACGTGGAACAGTAATGGCTTTTCCCCTTTGTAGTGTAATTACATGTGTTTTAAATCTATACTTATCTTGAATGCTAAAATATATATATTTTTGCCATTAAGGCAGTTCTCAAGTTTGAAAATCTTTTTGATGTTTGCATTTGAATTGATATAATTAAAACATAAGTAAGGAAAAAATCCCAATGGCAAAAGTAATGTTCCCATTTCTCTACAGGAGGAAGTTTGTGAAAATGCAAGCCCTGCTATTCTGTTTTTCTTTGTGTACATTTGCCAAAACTACTGTAATGAGCTTATCTTTTTCAGCAAACACACACACTTACACACACATGCAACCTCCTTGATGCCTAATAAGAGGATTTCTGTGCCATCTGTTGAAAAGCAGAGCGTGTTTGTTCTTTCTTTTTGACGATTAGCTCCATCTGCACCTTACTGAAAAAAAACATCAAGAACCTGAATTATCACAGTATAAAAGCCAACAAATTTGTCCAAGCTGTTTTCTGCCTCTCCTCTTTATTGGACCACTCGGTGCTGTTAAATGGACATGCGCGGCGTTGTCTGTTACTCTACAAATGGCACATCCACTTCTCTTCTTTCCCATGATGCCCAGGAGTGTATGATCCCGATCAAGCAGGAAGTGGCTTCCTGGACATCTTGAGGGGAGGAACGGAGCGCTTCCTGACCAACATTAAAGACACTTCATCTAAAGTCATCCAATCAGTAGCCAGGTAAGGCTCCAACTTTATTGCTATAAGTGTCTTTATATTTTCTATTTGATTATTTATCATGAAAAGCTTTGTACATGTGAACTTTCTTACTTGGCATAACCTGTACAGTTTTTGAACTGTCTGGGATTATATCAATAAAAATATAAATAAAACTATTTTCTGGAGGGGAAAGGGAATTCCAGGCTTTATTCTACATCCCATTGTTTAAAAATGTCATCCATCCATCAGCATCCTTTCATCCATCCCACCACCTACTCATTCTTCTATGTGCCCACCCATCCATCTATGTTTTATATGTACTTGTTGTATACTCTTTATATACACAGTTAAAACTAGATATTTGCTGACACTGTATATATTTTTTTCTCTTTCTTTCTGACATTAAATAAGCCCAAACATTTCCAGATGTTAGTGCATCATCAACAAGGATCATCATGGCCAAACGATCCATTTTAGTTTCATCAGATCACCGGACGCATCGCAGCAGAATTAAGGCATTTGTCTTGTACATTTTCATACCATCACCATCTCTGGCTTTTTATTTTGCCATTATCCATTTCCTAAACAGTCTTATCCCTGGAGGGTTGAGATGGAGGCTGGTGCCTATCTCCAGCGCTCATCATTTGTTCATTTTGCATTTGACGTAATCACATCTTCCTTCCTGAGTGGCTCTCCATGTAGGGAAGGAACATTTAGTCGCTCAGCTGTCCAAATTTTTGTTATCATATTTCGGATCGACGAAAAGCAAATGGCTAAATTTCACTCTTTGATCCTTCTTTCAGTTATTTTTTTCCTCATCTGTTTGATCCATTCGTGTGGTTGTTTTTGTTTATTTTTATTTTATGTTGTTTCTTTTCTCTGTCCCAATCCCTCATGGTTCCACTTTGTGTACATCTCCTAGCAACCCGAGGTAAATATGGCTCGGTGAAGTTTGTCATTTCATGCGTTGCCGTCTGTGTCCCGTAGCATGTGTTTGATCTAGAGGATAAAACCTTTTACTAAAGCTTCTGCTGTTCTGTGTTCATCATCACGGCTTCATGATCCTAACATCACACACTCAATAATTCAGCTGAGTGTTGCCGAACAGACGGGTATTAATTTGGGGTGAAATTAAAATATATTTCAGCCATCTGCATTCTTTGTGATAAGATGTTGTTGCTAGATTAATTAAAATTTCCGTGCTGTAACTTAAAGGGTGTTTACCTTACGGTATTTTTAAAACCCAACGTTTTCTTGTTGTTGCATCAATACTCACCATTCACCCATTTATAGTTTTTGTAAAAGAGGGAGCTTTGTTTTATAATAAGATATTAAACCATCAATTAATTTTTTTTTTTTTCCTGCCTTCCCACTCTGAGCATTTAGTTGCTGATATGATGACGCACCACTGTGTAAGAGCAGCTGGTGTAAACCAGATTTTACCATTACTCTTAGGTTGACAAACTGTTGTTAACATTTTATTATAGAGCTTAATGCAGCTAGTTTTATTAAAACAGCATTTATGTCTGTACAATTTTAGAATAATGCAAGCCCTTACCATAACTGAGATTTCCAAAAGGTTACCGTTTCCAAATTCAGCTTTTCCCAGAAGTTAAAAGCTCAAAATAACAAAACATGGCAGCCTTACTGGACTCTGTTCAACCTTCCTGAACAAGTTTAGTTTTAAAGCTTCACTGATGCTGAACATGACTCACTTTGAGCCTCTTCCTTGCAACGACAACTTCTTTGTTGTCAGCATGACCTTGTAATTCTTAGGTGTGGTGTGTTCACTGTTTGAAAAAAGATTGGAATTTTGAGTTTCCAAATGGCCAGTGACCTGCCAGAGCCAGTTGAGATGAAAGTGATCTGATATTGAGCATCTATTGACTTCACCAGGCAGTTCCTGCCGTGTCATCAGTTTTTCAGGCTTGTGAACAAACCAGAGTTTATTATTGAGGATAGCTAATTGCTAACATGATAATTAGTTTTTACAATACAATGCTAATGCTACATTGTTGTCCGTCTCTACAGCAGCTGAAGGACAGAAAAGTCTTTTAGAGTTGGCATTCAGAAGGAACTATGAAAGTGAGGACAAGTTTTCAATGAAAGAAGAAAGTCAGGAATATAACCAGACATCTGACTGATGGAAAAGAAAGTTAAAATATAGTGAAACTAGTAATGAGCAAGAGGACCATCTGTCATTAATAGTTTATCAAATGTAATAAAAAAATGTAATTGCATTCCATTTTCACGTAACCTCCCAGTTCTGTTCCCTTAAAAAACCTTTAAAGATGTTTCCTTTTTTTAAAGAGTGATTTAACTCAGAGTGTCCACACATCTTTCATTGGAACGGTTGGTCACAAATGAATGCTTAAAAGTTTGAATGAGCAAATATATAAACTGTAATAATGAGCTTTTCAGCACTCCACTGCTTACAGAGCAACGTTTTCACCTTCCACGTGTCTTTAACCAGCATCCCGCTGTGCGTCCTGATGCCATCCCATAATATTTACTTTAGCTGGAGTTGATGGCTTTGGTACTTTTGCTTTCCCAACCATGATGCATTGCTTGTAATATGCTGCAGTGTGTTTGTACACGCTGTAAGAGTGTCTTAAAGCCTGGTGTGTCGTATAACAAAAACACTTACTCTGTTTGTGGTATTGGGTGTTTTGGCAAATGTTTGCGGTGCCTAGAAAAGGAAGGAGGAACGTGCCATATGTTAGAAGCCATTAGAAACCAGAGTGATAGTTGAATGTTACAAAAGAATTGTCTCCATTTCTTGATTTTTTATTTTTTATTTGTTAGTCTTTAGGTTACCTACTAACTGCTTGTGTTTTTACCAGGCATTAGTCAAGCAACTTTTTCTTTAATTGCTTGAATGTGTCCCTCCAGATGCTCTGCCTCTTTTTTAAGTCTGCTTTTTGTTTTTCAGCTATGCCAAAGGAGACCTGGATATTTCTTACATCACCTCCAGAATAGCAGGTAGATCAAGTTTCTGCCATAAAATCATTTTTTCCCCAAGTTCTTTTGTTGCTCTTATGGAAGTGATTCTGTTGTTTAAGTAAATGTGATTTAAGTTGAAGTGAACACACATTGTAGTGTCTCATGTTAAGGCAAGTAAACCTTTATTTTTGGGGTTACTGATCAGTTGTGTGTGTGTGTAGTGATGTCTTTTCCAGCAGAAGGGGTGGAGTCTGCGATAAAGAACAACATCGAAGACGTTCGTCTGTTTCTGGATTCACGTCACGCCGGCCACTACGCTGTGTACAACCTGTCTAGACGATCCTACAGGCCATCACGGTTCCACAACAGGGTAAGAAGAGCGCTTTTGTGGATATGATCCTACATGATTGGTGCAGGGTAATGAGATGCAGCCGATTTCTTCAGCCAGTAGAACTGCATCTAAAAACTTCATTGTCTACATCAACATGTTCTGCATCGTCTCTACATTGTCTCTCTTTGTCCCTTGTGTCCAGGTTTCGGAGTGTAACTGGCAGGTGCGCCGGGCTCCCAACCTCCGCAGTCTCTACAGCGTCTGCAAGAACATGCATGTGTGGCTCAAACAGGACCAGAGGAACATCTGCATAGTGCACTGTCTGGTGAGTAAACCAGTCCTCCAGTCATGCTCAAAAATGGAGGAGATCATTTTATAGGTTAATAAATGAAACCATTAATTTATAAGATTATGTACACATTGATTATTTGTGTTTGTGCGTAACTGCATCCTAAAAACGTACTGCTCGTAAATTTATCAGTTAATTATAAAAGCGCTTTAAAATCGCTTTAGTTGTTACAGCTTAGGTACATATTTGTGCAAACCTAAAATACATTTCTGGTGTTGAACGTCCTTCGACTTTGCACAAAGCAGCTGAAGACCGATCAGTGAGCATTTCTGACTCAGCCATTAATTATGTGTGCCGTCTTCTTTACCTTTCGTCAACATCAACCCCAACCTTGTTTGAGACGAAACATGCCAAGTGTGTGATTGATCTGCATTACTAGTAAAACTGCTGTCAGCTGCTGCTGTTCTTTTAATTGATTTGATCATTTGTTTTTGTTTTTTTTCTGTGTAGGACGGCCGAGCGGCATCAGCAGTGGCAGTTTGCTCTTTCCTGTGTTTCTGTCGCCTCTTCACTACAGCTGAGGCTGCTGTCTACATGTTCTCTATGAAACGCTGCCCGCCTGGCATATCGCCCTCACACAAAAGGTACGAAACCCAGTGTGCAGAAAATGTTGCGTTGGTTTGTTGGTTTCCTCTCAAATTGTGAAATTTATCTAGGTTGAGTTTTTTTTTTTTTTATATATATATACCGACATTTTTTTAAAACCTTTTTCACAAAATAATGGAGTGCTCTTGAATGTTGCTTTCCGGTTTTAGGTACATAGAGTATATGTGCGACATGATGGCAGAGGAGCCCATAATCCTTCACAGCAAGCCTGTAGTTATTCACTCTATCGTCATGACACCGGTGCCGTTGTTCAACAAGCAGCGCAACGGGTGCAGGCCGTTCTGCGAGGTCTACGTCGGAGACGAGAGGGTCCTCACCACTTCGCAGGAGTACGACAGGATGAAGTATGATTGACCTGTAGTGCTTTTTGCTGTTTAACCAATATAAAGCGGCATAGCTCTTTTATTCAGTTATTCTCTCTCACCGCCTCCCCAAGGGATTTTAAGATGGAAGATGGCAGAGCAGAGATTCCCCTCAATGTTACAGTTCAAGGAGATGTACTTGTGGTGATCTATCATGCTAGATCTACACTGGGTGGGCGTCTCCAGGCAAAGGTACAGGCACAAATGAGTGTTACCAGGATTTTGGCTTTCATTTTATCAATACTTTCATATCTAATATATATAAAAAAAACTGTTCTGCCCAAAAGACTGACTTTCTGATGTCAAAAATCTTTTCCAGATGGCATCAATGAAAATGTTTCAGATCCAGTTTCACACAGGCTTTATCCCAAGAAACGCAACTACTGTCAAGTTTGCTAAGTATGTACAATGTTTGCTAATTAATATCAGTACAAACTGGAATATTGTTACTCAAATGATACTGACTTTTTGCTATTTACATTAGAGCTAAAACTCAAGGGTGTTAGTTTTTTTTTTTTTTTTTTTTCTTTAACTTTTTCCTCCACGTGTTTATTTTTATTTTTTATTTTTTTTCTGTCAGGTATGATTTGGACGCCTGTGACATCCAGGAGAAATACCCAGACTTGTTCCAGGTTAATCTGGACATTGAAGTGGAACCCAGAGACAGACCCAGCACCAAGTCCCCTCCATGGGACGGCTTCCAGACCAAGGGCCTCAACCCCAAAATACTCTTCTCGTCTCGTGATGAGCAGCAGGAAATCCTCAGCAAGTTTGGTAGGTCCTGGATTTGATTTACTTAACGTAGCTTCTGTAGAGCCTTGAAAAATAATAAGATACCTTTGACAATAGTTTTGTCCCTTACAACCTCAGACTTTATTGGAACGGAGCAACACAAAAGATCATATGATTCAGAAGTGGGTGGAGAATAATAGGATGAAAATGTTTGGTTGGATTTATATTCAGTTCCCAAAAGAAAATGCAGCATAAAATAAGAGTCTAGCATGGTCTGGTGTAAATACATCAGGAAACATTTCCAGGTGTTTTGAGTTGGATAAGCTGATTAGCTTGATAATTAACACTTTTTTTTGTAATATTATTGGATTTTGAGATCTCATTTTTTCATAAGCAAATAATCATAAAAAAATATAAGAAATGAAGCCTTGAAATAATTATCTCAGAATAATGAATCTAAGTTAATCAGACTTTCACCTTTTGAAATGTCAAAAAAAAAATTGAACTTTTTCCATGATAATTCGTTTAGATGTAACTGTTTTTTGTATGCAAAGTGAAAACTTCTCAGTGTGTTTAAATAGTGTCGCCTTTTGCTTGTTCTTCATGCATATTATAACCTATTAGTATCTGCTTAGCAGGACAATAAAATGTTTTTTTAATTTTTTTTTTTTTATTGGATTTTCAACCATTTTTGTTGCAGTAAAAGTACAGATGAAACTCTGGTATAGTGTGAAGTGAAGCACAGAATTATCCATGCAAGCCTTCCACTAGAACCAGTTTAATCTCTATAAACTGGGTGTGTGACCACCACAGGTAAGCCTGAGCTTCCCCGTCAGCCTGGTTCCTCTGCGTTTTATGAGTCGGAGTCGCCTCCACCGGCTCAGACCCCAGATGGCGCCAACGCAACCGAGTCAGAATCTCCTGTGGGCAACGACGCCAACTCTAGCAACTTCTTCCAGACACTAGATTGGGAAGGTAAATTCACTCTTTTATATTTCGCTGAAGTTGAAACGTGAATATTTTGAATCAGTTTTTTTTTTTTTTCTTTTTTCAAAGAGGGAAAAGCCTCTGATTTTTGTTTCCTGTCTTATGCTGCGAACCACTTCAAACACCAAACGTTTTCCATGAATTAAAAGTATTTTGATACTTCAAATTTTTTTTTAAAATTTGCTCTCATTTCTTCCTTGTGCTCTCAGACACTCAGAGCCCTCATGATGCCACAGACAGCATAGGAGGAGGATCCATGAACGACCAGGAGGATCTGAGTGATCAGTCAGAGGGGGAGTCTTACTCCGCTCCCAGTGGGGAAGCTTTATCCCATGACCTCAGTGAACAACTGTTCGATGCCGATTTCCAGGTGGGCTACTTGCTTTGCTAAAATAACACTGAAGGCTTCATTTTAATGTGCTCTGACAGTGCTGTCAAAGATCCAACGATTTAATTTCCTCCTTCCCGCCAGAACCCCCCTCCAGCACCCGAGGACTCTGATCGAAGCGACACCGCTGACCTCCTGGGGTTGAACTCTGACCCCGAGCCCCCTGCCTCATCTGCGGTTTCCTCTGGTGCTTCTAACCAGGGCGGACTGAAAGCCGCCTCCAGCAACAGCGATCTCCTCAATGACTTGTTTGCACCCCCTGCTGGCCAGACAGGAACAGTGCAGGAAGATCTGTTCTTTAGCGAGCCAACCAGTGGAGCCACACCTGATGCAAAACGTGAGGAGTGGGAGTTTGTAATGCTGGATGCATTATTCCAGAAACGCTCTCTTTAACTTCAATGTGATGTTCATCCGATCATGAATGTTTTGCAGCCATGGGCGACCTGTTTGATCCGTTCGGGATGGGGTCCGGCTCTGGCGTTGGTTCCAGTGTGGGCTCTTCTCGCCAAGCCTCCGGGCCCGACCTGTTTGGAGACTTGTTGGGCTCTGACAGTTCAGCGACCAGCGGGTTCAGTTCTGCTCACAGTACCACCACCCCTGCATCCAACACCAGCCTCTTCAACCTCAGTGAGTTCACAATCAGCTGAGTCTTCATACCGCTTTAACTTTTTCACATTTTGTCACGTTACAGGCTCAAACGTCAGCATTCTAGTGAGGTTTTCAGTGATGGGCCAAGACTGAAATAGTGCATAACTACCAGAATATATTTGGTAGAGATCCACCAGACCTGGGGATCTCTGCAGCCCTCTCAAAGTTGGCATGGGCCTGCTTCTGTTTAATGAACTCCTTCCCACAGCGTGGATCTTTTTATTTTTGTTTTATCAGGCAGTTTTTGTAAAAAAGTTAAGCCCTCTATTTTCTTTTGATTTCGTAATTTGGTGCCTCAGTATCAGTCGGTGACATAAAACCCCCATACAGTTTGTGTTCAAGAATTATCAATAGTTGTTCAAAATGGGGGTGGATTAGAATTTTATTGTAATTTTGTGCTACTATTGCAAAAACAATTTAAACGATCATAAAAAAAGCAAACTACTTACTACTTCATCACTAGGTAACATTATGACTGTGACTGCATGGCACAGCATTCATAGTGCCTCAAACAGGCTCCTTCAGGACACCATTTAACTGCACATAGTAACTAAAAATAATTATATTCTCAAATATACTGAAATATTTGATGCTCTCGTGAAACAAAAAAGTGGATGAAATGGTACAAATCACACACCAGTCAGTCTTTTGAACATTAAAATTGATCAAGTCAACAAAATCAATGAAACTTCCTGCTACATCTTGGTGCGGTAGTAATTAGGGGCACCTGGTCTTCACAGATAAGCTCGTGAAAGACGGCCCTAAGATGACGTCCTCAGCCAGCCAACCAGACCTGCTGGGCGGGTGGGACAGCTGGGCGGCTAAGACCACACCTGGCATCACCACCAGCACAAGCAAACCCAGTTATACCAACACAGGTGGGTAGAGGAATATTAGTTAGCAAATTGTACGATGCATGTGGTGTTTGTTTTTTATTGGCATATCAGGTTTGTTAATGGCTTTACCGCATGTGAGTCTGACTCGTATTCCAACTGTAATTGCAGCTTCTGGTGTGTCGTCCATGTCGAAGGCCAAGTCTCAGACTTTTGATCCTTTTGCTGACCTTGGATCCCTGGGCTCCAATTTACCAGGCGAGTTTTTGCTTTTTACAGTGTTACATGGTTGATTTAACGAGCAGTGACCCTAACATGTGGATAAACATCAACTTGAATCTCTTCACTTCCCAAAGTAAGCGTGATATTTATTCTTTTTCTTGCAGGCTCCGCAAGTAGTAACTTTTCAGGGGCTTCATTCAGCACAAAGACTCCATCTTCCTCCACCCCTTCCTCTGCGAAGCCTCAAGCACAAGCCTGGCAGTCGGGAAGACCGGCCGCAGCGCAGACCAAACCGTGGTTGTCTGGACCTGGATCAACACCGAAAGCATCTTCAGTATCTCAGCCTGCAAGCACACAGTCCTCTAAGCCCAACTACAACCTCAACTTCACTAGTGTCATTGGTGGGAGGGAGGAAAGAGGGGTTCGCGGGCCTGGATTTGGTAAGAGAAGCCCGAGGAAAGGATTTGAGGCTTTTCTGCTACAGAAATGCTTCTCATTGATAAGTTTCAGATTAATCGGTAGTGTTGTTTGTACCGTAGGCCCCAAACCAAAGGTGAAAGAGGATGATTTTGAGGAGCTTCTGTCCACTCAGGGTTTTGCTTCCAAGCCTGATAAAAAGGGACCAAGAACCATCGCTGAAATGAGGAAGCAAGAGATAGCGAAAGACATGGATCCCCTGAAGTTGCAGGTAACGAGCTGAATGTAATACATGTGCAACTCAAAAACACTGTATATGTTCACAAGACTATTTATATTCCCTGAACTTGTTCACAAGTTTTTCAAATTACAGCCAATCCCTACATGTGTTTAAAGTGACTGCATTATATAAAATTGTCTTTTTTGAGCATAACATCATGTTATAATGTCGTGCCCTCATCAAAAACATTCCTGGAGTTTTGCTTTGATTCTTCCATGCTGGTTTGAGAAATCCTTGAATTCCTGTGGCAGCCATTCTGCTCTCTCCACGCAGCTCCTTCAGACTAGCAGCAGCATTTAGCAAACACTTGGTCAAATTGCACACATGCAGAGCTTATTGTATGAACTATTTCTCAGTCCAATGAACTAAAGAACTTATGAAAATAGCTGAACGGAGAACTGATGTTGAGATGACGTGTTGAAGGCGGCATGTCGAAAAGCAGGAGCTTCTTAAAGAGACAAACGTCCAATTTTAAGTCAAATTTCTTTTAAATTATTTTATGTATACAGTAGCTTAATAACAACTGAAGGTAGCAGTTACTTGACTTTGTTATGAAATGGCACTACTTGCCTGGAAAACCCTGCCCCTTTAAGTGGGGTCTTTATGTTTAAAGGTCAACAAAAGATGGTGCATAGCTGCATAGTGAGACACTTTTTCAACATCTTTTGCAGATGAAAATCTGTAAATATTGAGAGGTTTTTAATTGGCTCTCCTGAATCTATAATTTTCTGTCTTTTGCAGTACATCTCTGCAGCCTTTACACATCTAACAAGTAATAGTTTTTCCATTCCTCTGTGCAAAGTAGCTCCAATTCAGTCAGATTAGATGGACATAGTCTGAGCAGCACATCTTTAATTCTACCTTTTACTACTTAATTCAATTCAAGTGTGGACTTCGACTTGACCATTCAATCTTTTATCTGCATAGAGACCAGATTTATGTAGTGCACATAACAGCTGTCCATCTCTGTTCCTCTTACGATGCTCTGTTTTTTCCCTGCCTGTCCGTTCAGGCCGTGTGTTTTTACACTTCAGTTATTTTATTTAATTTTTTCCCCGAACGCTTTTTGTTCTCTAGCAAACCTCTGAATGATTGACGTCATTTATTTTCCACTTTCCAGATTTTGGAATGGATCGAAGGGAAGGAGCGAAACATCAGAGCGCTGCTTTCAACTCTGCATACAGTGTTGTGGGAGGGGGAAACGCGCTGGAAGCCCGTGGGCATGGCTGACCTCGTGACCCCTGACCAGGTCAAGAAATTCTACAGGAAGGCAGTGTTGGTTGTCCATCCAGATAAGGTACAGCTTCAAAATCCTGCACATGTTGCAGTGTGGCGCTCAGACCTTCAGTGATTAACGCCGCCTCTGTCCACGCAGGCCACCGGTCAGCCGTACGAACAGTACGCCAAGATGATCTTCATGGAACTGAATGACGCCTGGTCAGAGTTTGAGAACCAGGGATCCAAAGCTCTTTTCTGAAACACCGGCCTGGACCACTACTAAACCAGACCAGACGTGCACTGGGCTGGATTTGGCCCAACCAAACGAGGGTTTGACTGGGCCAGATTGGACAGGGCTGTGCCCACATTGGGCTTTAAAGGGTGCCGAGCCTCTGAGAGGTGTCCTCTCTACAATTCTCCTTCTTCCTCCTTTACTTTCTTGTGTTTCTACAGCTACAAGAAAAGACCTTCTTGCCTCACTGTAATGGAAATACTTCTAATTCTTGTTCTTACACAGAGGGTTTAATAAACATTGAGATGGTTTGTAAACTCACTGCCTACCTGTGTGACTGCCTGAGTGGTGCTGCAAACGTTGGGAGGAGGGAATTACTGACAATTGGGCCAAAAACTAAAGCTGTCGTTTAATTTGGGGGATCGACACTGAGAAAAGTATGAGCTATTTTGGTTATTGGTGGTACTAATTTTCCTTTGTGCTTTGCACGTTTGCAGCCGGTCTTGTAGTTTACTGGCAAATAAAAGTGATTATGGCTGTAAATTGTTAAGCATGGCAGCAGACTTGAAAGTTTGCAAAATGCCATTCGTGATGTTGAGACTTGCTTCTTCTTCTTCAAAAAAAAAAATGCAAACATTTCCAAACAGAAATTGATAGAGATGACCGAGAAATACCTTATGAATACCTTTGCTGCTCTATTATGGGTCACAACTTGAATTTTCTCGAGCCAGTAAGTCAAGACAATTTACCTGCTGAACACTACTTGTGCTGCTTTATACCTGTTATTGCTGCAGCAGATCAAAGTTAAAAATAATAATAATAAAGAAAATGCAGCCCTCAAACTTGTTTTGGAGTTCCTGCATTAATCCAGTCAGGCAGTCTTTTTTTTTTTTTTTTAAGTGCTCTTCGACTTCCACCTTCAGTGTACACTGTGTAGCAAACTGCATGCTAATCTCCATCAAACCTCTAAGCAACAGCAGGTGGATGTCTTCGATTCCTAACCAGGGATGTTTGAATGAGCAGTTTTCTTCATTGAAGTGCTTTTTTTTTTTCTTCTTCTTCTTCTTGTAGCAGCGACAGGAAAGATGCTACCAGCGTGATTGTACCTGGTGACAGACCCCTCAGTCCATGATTTTAAGCTCTTCTGTAATCATCAATCCCGTTTTTGTCATTCACGCTCCACACCCGTCTTTAACACACAGTTTACAGAAAACTAGAGTTCAGAAAATTGAAGGATTGAAAAGAAAATGTGATGGTCTACTCTGGTTTTATAGGGTGGGGTGTTTGTTTTCTCACTCTTTGTATTACACTGTTTATTAGTTAAAATATCCTTTCCTTTGTAAATATAAGAATATTATCATCCATCAAGTGGCTTTGTAAAGATTCCAGCTGGGGGTTTATCTTGATACGCCTCAGGCTGGACTGCGTGAATGTTTTTTTTTTTTTTTGTGTGTGTGTGTGCTGACAAATAATGCAGCTTTACAGGGCATCGTGCTCTTTTGCTGATTATCACTTTTTTTTTTTCTTTAAAAAAAAGTTTCTGAAATCTTTCCAACTATTTTTCCATTCACATTTTACCTCATGGACCAATCAAATCTCCTCTTTTTTCTTATTTATTATAGTGTTTTGTGAAGGCGTTTGGGGGAAGATGTATTCATAATACATAATAATGGCACAAGTGGGAAAATTCAAATGAATGGAAAGTTTTGAACTCAAATGGGACAGTTGTTGTTTGGTCACAGTGTGCCGCTGTTTTCATTCCAAAGCATCACATGTTAATATGAATGTGCTTTTATACATGTATATCCTGTCTGTTATTTCTCTAGATCTGTAACTCTATACTTTTTGGGTATTCAGTCCTTTTATGTCACAAATACATTTTCCCCTTTAAATTCAGAGGTCCAAGTGTTGCTTCCGTTTTGTTTCTAATATTTTGTAAAAAGAAAATGGAGAAAAAAATCCCCAAACAAAGGGCCTGCAAACTTAAATTAAAATAAAAAAAACTGAGGCTTGAAATTCAGTTTTTTTGTTGTTGTTTGGACCCTCTGAAAACAAAAAGCTAAAAAATGGCAAAAAAAACAAAAAAAAAAAAACCACTCACTGGCAGTGTTTACTGTACCAAATTACATCATGCTAATATGAATGTAAATTTAAATGTAAAAAGAGGAAATAAAAAGAAAATCTTTTGATCTGGGACATTTATGCTTTGCGTCTTTCTTTTAATGAAAACATGTCTTCAAATTCACACCCCACATTTTTATTTAAATATATGTAAAAATCTGTAAACCAGTTGCCGGGTAACAATGACGCATCAGTGTAATTATCTTTTCTTAAGATAAGTAAAGAGTTTTTTTTGGTGGGGAGGTTTGGGGTCATTCAGTCACCAAATATCGGTATCTTATCTGGTCACCCTTGTCTGGTTGACCTCTGGTTGGACAGAAAACACACAAAGCAGCACATTAAAGTTTCAAATGAGAGTAGAAAACACTAATGTTTTCTAACATGCAATGTTTTTAAATGGTTGGTTGAGGTTAAGCTAGCAAGCCAACATCACATCACTGAGTTAGAACTTTATTTCACAGGTCAAGACTTTACTCTGTGTGTACAGAATGAATTATGAGATTCATTTTGATGTTCAATATCCTGTTGAATATCAAAGCTTGCTCTTTACAATGTAGCTTTGTAACATTAACAGTGGCACTTCGTCAAGACGGTGGACAATGGTACACAGAAATGAAATGGATTTGTGAATATTTGAAGTACGGTTCTGTTAAAGGACATGAGCAGCAAATGAATTGCCCAAAGAAGACGATTCTTTTGCCATCTTTCTTTAGTGTAAACCCAAATTAGTTGCTCTCCCAGCTAAAGCTAACAGCTAGTTCAATAGTGGCATACACCAAGGTGAAGTTCTGCTTTAAATCGTTGACTTGGTTCACATTTGGCAGTTGTTTACACAGAACCTGCTGTAAACAACTGCAAAAAATTGAGGTGGGAGGTGGAGCTTTACCAAACCCTTGGTAAAGCTCCATGTGAAGTCATGAAACATGACTATAGTAATGGTTTAGTTAAGAATAAATCTTAACATTACTGTTTTTTTCCACACTGATTCTATGCTGTCTTGACAGTGTAGAATGAGACAAAATTTACCCCAGTTTTAATGTTATTGGAAGGTTTATGTTTTGAAAAGAGAGTGGTAAGCTAAACGACTTTCAAAAAACAGCAAAAAAAAACAACACAACTCTGTCCAATAAACAAACTACAGACCCAATTATCAATGCTACAAGTCTACTGATATGCATAAAGTCTATGCACTGTGGAGAAAGATATTCTGAGACAGAAGATGCAAACATATTTCTGTTGCTGATTGTCATGCCTTCAGCACCTTCTCCTGAACTACTACAGTCAAACTCATTTATACGTGATTTTGTTGCATAGCACAGTATTTAGAAGAACCAAAGATGCTTCTTTTTTTTTCATAGGTCTCAGCTGCTGTCGTGAGAGAAGCCGTTCCTGCATGTTCACATCTGGTTTGATGTTTCAGCCGAGTACAGGACAGGAAAAGGCACTTCAAAGTGTGGATGCCCACTTCGATTTCCTGCCTGTTCTGCCTTAAGCCTTAAAAAATGAAAAGGTCTGGTGGACTCCCTGGAAAGCTTTGAGTCCTCCAATGGGAATCTGAAAGAGACAAAAGTTACAGGAGCATCATCATTAGTGGATAACTGCAAATAAAGCAGAAAGGTGTTTTAAAAGATTTATTTCATACTTTTAGAGTCTTACACACAGAAAAAAGGTCTTCTGAGCGGTGTGGCTTGGCTTCAACCCTCAATGGAGACCTCAGGAACAATGTTTCCATTCTGTGTTATTTCCACTGGAAGCTCCTGTACCACAGAGAATAAGTGAATTTTGGTGAGCCTGCTGTAAAACGCAAATACAGTTGAAACCAGAAGACTAAAAAGACATTAACCATTTTCCTCACTTTCTGAGGTTAAATTAGATTTTGTATTAGGTCAGTTAGAATTACTGGTAACACTTTATTTGACTGGGTGACACTGCCATGATCATGAAGGAGTCTTTATGAATGTCTATAACAGCTGTCATAAAGTGTCATTTGGTAAATAATGAGACTTTCAGTGCAAAGTTGCTCTAAAACTTGCCTTGAAAGTAAATTAAAAGGGGCAACTTTGCATTAAAAGTGTCATCATTTACCGAATGACACTTCCTGACAACATGGCAACCGATGAAGGCGGCGCTTTCAAGTATCCGGAAACTGTTAGCAAGGATGAGCCAGAATTATGCAGAAACTTATTTACCACTCCACCGAGCGGCACAGCCTCAACAGGAAGCGGCCCCTGACATGGAACATCACAGCCTCCGGATTTCGCTTCTTCTGACAGCACACCCAGACACTTTTGGTTGGCAGCAGCAATCTGGAAAAGAAGGGACACATGAAGTCCAAGGTCAGAGTGAGAACTTGACCATTTACACTTATTCTTCATATTTACCTCCTTAAAGATGTGTTCTGTTTTTGTTCCACTTAAACGTTTCCAATCAGCAAACACATTTTTATTTTTGAAAAAATAAATGATGATTTAATTTTTTAAACTCCAATAATGCATTCTACTGGCTTCCGCATTGATGTGGAGGAACTATTGACATCCTTCTTTGCAAAATTGTTTCAATTAATTCACATTTTATGGTTTTAAGCCCTGCTTCAGGTCATGCCATGGTGTCTCATGAGATTTAAGTCGGTATCTTGATAAGGCCACTGCAAACCTGTCTTGTTTTTAAGAGTGCACTTTCTGCTGTTTCTGCTGTCTCATTGTGCTGATGCAATTTCACATTAACTTGTTTTGCAGCTTGTGTGATGAGACTTACATGTTTTTTTTTTTGATTGGGGCATAATGTGTTGCTTTCTGAGTTTTTCCATGTTTAAAGTCTGGTTAAAGTCTGTTTTTGTAATTTCTCAATTCTACTAATTTGGCATTAATCAAGCCATTGTGTGGCTCATAAATGTAAGTAGTCATAGACAATTCAAAATTTAACAAGAGGGGAAATTGCATTTTTATGTAGGGTCACATTAATCAGATGTGTTGTTTCTTAATGAATAAAATTCTCTTTTTTTTAAAACAATTTAACTAACAATTTTATATCTAACAATATAAAATTGTTGGATGATATGAAACATTTACGTGTGGAAAAAAAACAAACAAATATTTTTTTTTTTTTTTTCTGGCATTATGAAACAAATGACTAAGAGTATTGCTGCCGTAGGAGTAAATGTAACATTAGCATATTTTCATATATAAATGCTGCAGTGCCCACCTCCCCTGCAGGAGCAGCAGAAACTGTTTCAGGATCTGCAGGAGCAGCATCCGTTGATTCTGACTGGATGGTAAAAGCGTCTCCTGTTTCCTCTGCTTCCTGAATGTCAAAAAAAGGAAGAAAGAAAAGGTCTCAAAATGTCCAGCTGCTAAGTTAACCTTGACATAAAAGCAGGGATCTACTGAGCAAGAAGCCCATTGTATTTGTCTCTCTCTCTTTTTTTTTACTTTTAGATGATTTTTGGACTATTTTTGCTCTGCTCTGAAAAACAATTAGAAGCTACTCAGAAATCAGACCATGAATAGCTGAAATTGTAAATAACTAAAACAGACAAGGTTGTAAATGTTCTACTGCTGTTTTCCCAACATATTCTTATAAACATAACAGTCAAGAACGACTATTGCAAAGTTATTCCAGTTATTCATGACCAACAAGCATAAAGTAAAGAGGACTTTGTGCAAATCCCACCTGCTGCACAACAGGAGACGTCGAAACATCCTTCGCTGTTGACACAGATTCAGTGGCAGGTAATTGTTGGAGCAGCAGTTCAGCAGTTCCCTGAGGGACAGAAGGAAAACATGAGAAGGGATTGTTTCCCATCTTCAAAACCTTACAGCAACCAAAAAGCAGTTGATTGTATTTTCATGGATTACCAAATGGAATAGAACGAAATGAAATGGTGTTTCCATGACCGAACGCTTGTTAGTTGAGAAATCATTTCCAAAACAACAGTAAATGCACATAAACAAAAACATGTTTTAATTGTGGTAATAGTGCATTATTTTAACAGTTTGAGGCAGTCTGTATGCAGCAGTCTGATTCTTCAGGTTTTATTGCTTTGGATGTGATGCTATGAACGCAGATTTGTGCTAATATTGTAAACCTCAATTGTCCAAGCTCAAGACCTTTAAGGGGATCCGGTCGCCAAGGTGACAGAGATGTTAGTTCAGATATTGACTGATTGAAGTCTTTAAAAGTCGGGAGGTCAGTATCCAAGCTCAGTGATGTCATAAAATTAGCAGCTCAGACATAAAAACAATATAATTTCTATCAAATTAACATTTCTTGACACGTGTTAATAAACTCTTGGCTGTACCTCTGCATGCTTAACAACAGGAGGCTCAGCTTCATCCAGAGGAGCTTCAGTGATTGTATTTAGCACCTGATGAGATAAAAGGCTGCCATGTTACAATTTAACAGAGCAACTGCATTTAGTAAAGTGTAATTATTAATAATGTTGTCGTTTCTGAAAGTGGAATAAACGATAAGGCTCTTACTGCTGGGATTTCCACAGGAGGGCTAGCAGCATCCTGATGCAGCCAGACAAAACACAGAGACGTCTGTTGTTGACTTTGAGGAAGTAGTTACAGTGACATAAAGAAACACTACATAATGAATCAATCATATGAGATTTACATAAAATTATTAACCTCTATGGCAGCAACAGGCTGGACACTGAGTGCAGCTGAGTCTTCCAGTTTTTCCTCCCCATCCTCAGGTGGCTCTGCAGGCTCCACTGTTTCTATGACAACCTCCACCTCTGATCCAGCGTCAGATTCGGTTTTTTCTGCAGCAAGTTCTACTTCAGCAGGACTTTGGTCACTGGTGAGATCTTCTGCCACTGGTTCTTCAGCTTGTTCCTTTACCGACTCTGATACGGTTACCTCTTCAGCAATGGACACTTCTAGTTCCTCCTTGGTCTCAGTGTCTTCTTCTGCCAGGGTCACATCTTTCTGAGATTCTGCCTCGCAGACATCCTGTGTCTGCAAAGTTACCACGACACAAAGCATGCAACATTAATCCAGAGAACAGAAATGGTCCTGAGGAATCCTGACTTTTCCTCATGGAGAAGAGTGGATTGCATTCCACTACCAGAACGTCTGGGGTCATAGAGAAACGTACCTGACCCATCTCTGTCTGTGTGTCTTCATTGTCTTCTGTCTAGATAAAATACAAAATACATTTTTAGTTAACCTTTTATAATAAGATGGATACATTTGAATAAATCCATGATTAGATTCACAGACAACTTAAAACAACTGAGTATGTGCTCAGGAAGAGCCAACTAAACACACCCGCATTAAAAGCTTAATGAATTTGCACCACCTTCACAACTCTTTTATAATAATAGGGACTTTTTTAGCAGCACTTCTAACACTTATCTAGTTTGTTCATGCTGATTTATTGGTAGCCTTGTGACAGAAAAGTGCCGGATTGCTGAATGAAGATCACACTACAGCCTTTGAGCCAGGTAGAAGATTGTATTTAGACTGATTTTTAATGCAACATCTTGTCTTGTTTTTCAGCCATTTTGTTGTAGAGTTACTGCTGTGTTGTTCAATTTTATTTATTTACACTTTACCTTTGTTATTCTATTTCTGTTTCTGTCATGCTTGCTCTACATTAGATTTGTCTTTCCTTAAATGTTTACTTACTCATGTTTATGCGATTTTTCATCCTTTTGCATTCAGTTTATTCTTTAATTGTCAGACGTCTGTTTAGCTCTTTCCAGGACATTATTACTCCTCCTCTGCTCCTCTTGTGCCATAGCTCTCTCCCTCAACTTGCCTCTCTTGTCTCCACCCACAGCTGCTTGTTAGTTAGCTGCTTATTTACTTGCAACTTACGTTTTTGCCATATTCTGTTTAGAGAAAAGAACAATTCCAAACAATATATACTTGCTCAGTCTTTTTCTGAACATACTGCCCTGAAACCCAAAATGCAGCATGCTGCAAATGCAACACTAAACCAGTTAGAGTACTGGGCTTGATTTTGTAATTTCTTTGAGAAATTAAAGGTGAATTTGCTTGAAGGGCAAAAAGAAGCATGTCTATCGTGTTGATTGGCAGCAACAATTGGTTCCCTACGGTTACTGCCGACGTCTTTCCGCCTTGGCATTGAGTTAAAACACACCTGTTTGCTCCAGTGCAGTGAGCTGCCAAAAGATCCTTACACGTACTGAAGATAAATTTAAAAATTGTTTCTTTAGGCAGCACCCGGTTGAAACCTTCACTCTAAAGTCCTGTGGAAGCAGCAAAGAGTCTTTTGCATGACTTTAGCTGTTACAAGGGTTGTCTGATTTGAGATTTGCTCTATAATGCATCAGGCCAAACAATAAAATATAAAATATAGAGCACAGTATTTTAACCCAGAATTTGTGGCTCTTTAGGAGGAGCTGATTTATAAAAATCCTCAGGCTGGCGTCAAAACCTGCTTCACTCAGACGCTTATCTGCCTCTGGCTTAAAACAAGAAGACATATGCTTGATTCAAGTTACATTCAGGGGCAAAGCAAAGTGTTTTAGGTAAAAATGAAAGTTTAAATCAGATTTACTTCAGCTTCTACAGCAGCCACCACTGGAGCCTCATCTGGGGTTGTAACCTGTGAAGAAGAAGAGGTGAAAAATTGTATTCTTACGTCAACAAAACGAAAGAACACCTAAAGATAAAGAGTGTTTCTTAACAAGCATGTTCAACAAAACTGCCTCATTCTCTGCAGCTTGCTTCTTGCCTACAAATTTAAAGGTCAAGTTTAGGAGGGACACCCACTGGGCTTTTAAAAATGTGCCCAAAGCGAAACGAGCTTCTAAACTACATTTTGTCAGCCTGGAGCCATTTAACAGAAAATAAATATCCCAGTGAGAGCCTGATCAGGTTTTCTCTGGCCATACCAGGAAATGTGTGCCAGAAGTAGCTTGTAAACTTGGGCTCACAGTTCTGCACTAACGCAAACAGCCAGTGAACGTTTTCTTTAGACGCTTTGTGTGTGATCAGCGCAACAGTTTGGAAAAAGGGGAGGAACGTCCTACGACCTGCATGAAAACCTCGCAACCAACTGGATGATTGGAAGCAGTTACTCCCTCTTTCTCTTCACTCCTCTGTATTTTCCAAGTCAGAGCTTTAAAACTGTCTTTGCCATCAACTCAGTTCTTCCATTTCAATAATCTTACAGCATATGTTATCCTCATTCATCACTCTGCATGATCATACGACGATCTAGATGTCCTGTAATGTACAATTTTTAAGACCTTTAAAAGTGTGAAATGCAGAAATCCAAAACATTTCTGGCATAACTTACAGAGAGGGTTGGTCTACTAATAAAATTATTTTTCTGCACTTCAAGTGTTGCCGCTGTCTTCACTTCACCTTAGGGATGTGTTAAATGCACGCCAGGGTTTGCCAGACTAAATCTGTAAATTACCTTTAATTAGGTCTCAACTTTGAACATTTGTTCATTAATTGCTTCCTCCATCACACCACTTCTTTTATTTGAAGACTACGACTTTTATTTTAGGTGCATTTCGCTCTTTGTTAAAACACAAACCTCACCGACTCCCGAGAAACTACAATAAACCAGCTTCAGCTGAGGAATTGTGCTCTATGACAGGAATACAAAGACCTTAAGCCGGGTTAGGAAACAGCCCTGTCAGAAACGCCTCTGTTCCAAATCCATGAAAACAAAAAAATCCTTCTGATTCCAGTTTACTGTAGTTTCTTTGGGGGTTCAAAAATAAAATATTTGTGTTAGTTAATTACTTCCAGCTCAGTTGTCATGAACAATAATAGAAGCTGGCTTAAAAAAGGGGATATTAGAAGTTTGCTAATAAAAGTTATTGTAAAGAGTGCTTGAAAGTGCTAATGGTAAGAAACCCAAGAGTGGAAAAGAAGTAGAGTCACGAGTCAGAGCTAATAAAAAAACAAAACAAGACGATAAACTTACATTTAAATACCTCAAAAATATTAAGCAAGCTAATCTTGCTTTATAAACTGTATTATTGACTAACCAAGTTATAAAATTGTATCAATAATGATCTTAAGAGGGAATTAGAAATCCTTAGATTTAATTTTTTTTTTATTTGCAGAAACCCATCCGACCTCCAAAGAACAAACATAAACGAAATGTCCTTAAATTCTCTGCACTTTTACAAGAATATGAGAAATTTTTAATATTAGGATGGTTGATAGCTTTTATTCCAATCACAGTCTGGAGAATGTAACCCACTCAGGTAGCTGGTATTGTTTTTAGAGAGTAATAACTAAAAATTGCCAGATGAGAAGAGAAGCCAGCCAGGCCTTTCAATTTCCTAATAGCCGTCGCCTAAATGATCACTGGGGCGGCATCCACTGTGCAGCCAAGTGTGTTGAGCCATACTGGCAATCACAGAGAGATGCTCATGAATATTGAAAACCTTCATACTTTGGTGATAAATAATTTAGCTTTACCTTGTGCCAGTTCTTTTTCTAAATGTAGGACAAGTTTACCGTATGAAATATCCTCCAAGTTGTCATGTATATAGACCAGCTTTCATCAAATCATTTAAATCTGCAAGTAAAGGCCTTCTCCAGAAAAAAAAAAAAAGGCAAAAAATAAACTTACAGTTAAGATAAAGAGAACTCCAGCTAAAATGTTGAAGTCAAGTTACAGGTAATATGATAAACAGAGAGCAAAAGGGATGGAAGAAAGTGATAAGGTGATCTTTAAGTCAGTTGTAGATAGTCTGCTAAACATGCACTCATGCAAAGCTATAGCTGAATACAGTACACACTCCCTCCAGCTACGACAACTAGAGGGACGCCATGTTCTGATCTACAGTAGATACACATGCAGCCTCTGTGAAATTTGTCTCAAACTGAAACTGTCATGAGCAAGTTCTAGACAAAGTTTGAAAAGAGAGGGAAGAATCATTTTGACTTTAAGACGGATGTAAAAATGACGTTGCCGAACATGGGAGTGAAGGATGCATGCAAATAGAGAATAGCAGTGAGAGACCAAACGGGGGAGGAGTGGCGAACAGAAGCACGGTAGGAAAAAGGTACAAAATGTTCAGCTCAAGCAGAAGCTCCATCTTTAGCTGCTTCAGGCAGCAGCGAACGGAAACACCCGACTCAGCAGCTGTGTCTAATCAAGAAGAGGCGTATGCTCACCTGAAACTCAGCGGCATCGAGAAAGAATCATTTTTTTCTCACCAACTTATGTCTGCACTGCTTCTGCGTTAAGCTTGTTCTCTGAGTTAAACTTTGGTAAAGCGCCACGCTCTTATGGGGATATTTTTGTCCAAACAATAGGTCAAATTGTTATTACCCTCTGGAATTAATAAGGTTTTCGTAAATGGGGTTTGAAAATCTCAGCAACTGTGAAAACTTCTGCAATTGGAAAAATGATTTGTGGCTTATTAGTTCATCTGTTGAAAAGAATTTGTGTCTGTAGAAACTATTTTAATTTGTGATTCATCTTTGTGCTGTTTGTCCAGACACAAAGTAGCATCTGTATTTGAAGCATCTGCCTTCTGCATCTTAATATTGAGTTTGAGCTTTTTAAATAATCTTAAACTGATCAGACAGGAACCAATCAAACTGGTCAATTAGAAGACTGATTGTTTTGTTGTATTGAAAGTTCTACTATAGTTCTGCTAAAGGTTTACCTATTCATACACTATTGCATGTGACAATTTCAACAAGCTTGCAAAGTTTTTCCATTCCAAAAATACATTATGTCAAACATACCTTTACTGGCCACATCATTAGGTACGCCGATTTGTTGACAAAAATAGCAAATCAGCCGGTCACAACCGTAACCACATCCTACTACCACTACTACTTCCTGAAGCCTAAATTTAACATCGGAATGGGGAAAGGAAAGGGATTTAACTAATCTCTTGGGTTTACAGAAAATGGTTCAGCAAATAAAATCTAATTTGCAAGCAGCAGTTCTGTTGACATCAGAGGTTAGAAGATGTGCAGGCTGCTTCGATACAGCAAAACAGAACAGAAATTATGGCTCAAACAAAGTTACAGCCATGGTGAGGTAAATATCAGCTTTGAACAAAAAGGATATTACAATTTAAAATTAAATAACTGAAAAAAGATTGGCGGCAACAAAGAAGATGGACGTGTTCAAAATGCTCAAGCTCCCCAAACCCCCCTTTTTACAAGATGACAGAGGAAACATGAAAGTTCACTGTATCTAGCATCATCAGTGATTTATATTTTTATAGAAAACCTGCAGGTATGATTTAGCAGATAAATCCAGAATACGCTTCCTGCAAGTGGGTAAAAGTAAAACGTCATCACACCCTTCTTGTCTATATATCAAAAAGCAAAATATGCATCTGTCTCTCATTCACCCACGAAAAATGTTCATTTTAAAGTTACTGTTAAATGGTGAAAACACCATTCACTGCTGCAGGCTGCAAACCTCTCCTTTATTTTCCCCCTGCTTCCTAAATGGAACATGTTGTTCTCCCTGCTTCACAGCCTCCATCATCTGCCTCCCTCCTCCACCGACCCTCCTGCTGCACGTTTGCCCTCTAATATTCTATAAACACCAAAACAATCCTTAGAGCATCTATGTGATAAAGCTTGTGTGCAATAAATGTCACAAAAGACCCAAAAGATACAGATATAGATACACGTATCTCTTTGGTATTTTGTTGTTCACCACCCATTTTCTTTTCTGCCCTCACATTTCAAGGTGACAGGCATATCGTATAGGCATTATAAATGAAAAAGTGATCATCATGTCTTCTAACTAAGATCTGATATGGGATTTGAGATGCAGGAAGTGAGACTCCATTGCTATTGGCTGTTAACCTTATTTGTTTGGTTCAAGTTCAGGATCTTAACAAGAAACAAAAATAATGATGAAAGAGCAGCTAAAGTGCAGAGAAAAACTTTCAAAGACTTTCAGAAAGTCTTGAGACCTGTTGATCAAGACAGAGAGGAAAACAAGTCAAGCTTCTTTGCAAGCAAAATATAATAACTGCCAAAGCAAAACAAAACGGAAATAAAGTAAATTGACAGAAAGCTGGCCTGACTATAATGCACCAGGAACATAATAACTGCCTGTCTATGTGTTAACACAAAGCATCTGACAGTCAGTCAAAATAACGAATAAAGGTCACCACACAGGAAGGACGACAAAAGTGTCCCATCTGGTTCCAAAATTTGGCTACTATTACATCTTGGTGCCAACCACCAGGCACACAACACTCAAACAGGATTTCTGATCAAACTGTCAGGTGCTGCTAATGGTTTCTAATGCATCTTCATGCTCTATTGGATGCTCGAGTAACTGCCTGTAGCACACCCTTAGAGAGTCTCCTCCAGATGTAAAGGTTTCTTCCAAATCGAATCACTTCAATAAATAGAACTTCTCTACATTTGTACCAAGTTACGTGCAAATCGGACCATTCCTTCAGAACTCGCAAATGAAAAAGAAATGATTTAATTACCTCAGAGACGGGCTCTGCTTCAGAAACAGGAACCTCGGCCTCTTTCGCCAGATCGGCTTCAACCGTAGAGGGCTCCGCTGGGGCACTACTTTCAGCTGGTGCTTCTTTGGCGACCCGTGCTGGACCTTCGACTTCATCCCCCACTCTGGATTCCACCTCCACAGTAGCCTGCTCCAACAGCACACCATCATCTGCTGCAGCTACCTCAACTACGAAGGCCTCTGCTGCTTCTTCTTTCACAACAGGCTGTGGTTCAAATTTTGGAGGCTCCACTGCAGGGGCGGAGATGGGAATGGCCTGTGGGGGCTTTTCTCGAGTGGGTGGTGAAATTTTAGCTGCTTTTTTGGGCGTTGCTGTAGGGGGCGCACTAATGGCAATCCCTGAGCTGGCTTTGATTGGTGGATTGGCTGCATGCTGATCCTCAAGTGCTCTCCTCTGGGCTTGCTGCAACAAGGAAAAACAGAAAAATGTATGCTCAAGATGAGTTTTGATCTTTATCGGCACAGATATATTCATTTTTATGCATTTTATAATGATGCAGCTATATAACTGTCCTCATATACTTGACTAACTATTAAGCTATTTCACATTTTGTCATGTTACAACCACAAAATCCAATCCATTCATTGGGATTTTAGGTGATGAACTAATATGAAGAACATGAAAATTGTGATAAAGAAACAAAATCATAGTTTTCAAAATTCTGACAACTCTAAAATAAAATCCACTCCAACTAGTAATTTAGTCTCAGCATAAATCAGAGAACATTACTGATCAAAAAGAGCCGTGAACGCCAAGGAACAGACAGGTCAGGGATGAAAATGTGCACAAGTTTCAAACAAAGTAGGTTATAAAACAATTTCCTAACAATTATTTGAAGCCTTTACCAATAATTTGTGTGAAAATAGAAAGAGTGTAACTGCAAATATAAAAAGACATGGCTGTCCACCTAAAATGACCGGCAAGCAATAATAAAGCATTCATCAATACAGCATCCAAGAGGTTCACAGTAAATACTGAGGACCTGCAAGCTGTCAACAGCACAACTATGAATCTGTCACACAGAATCCCAATAAAACCCACTAAAGTTTACAGTTGTAATGTAATATTACGGAAAACATTTACAGGTGGTAGTATTGTTTTTGCAAGGTTTTTCTAATGACAGGCCTGATACAATACCTCGTGGAATTTTAACTGGATTTTACTTTTAAATGCCCTTAAAAAGCTTAATGTTATTGGCGAACTGCAGCTCATTCTAGCGCCTGCAGGAATACCAGACATGTGCCAATACTTGCCACGTTCAACATATTTTTCAGCTTTGGACAAAACCCCCTCAGGCTTTGGTGGAGATTTTAGGAGGGCAGACCACTGGAGGGAGGGGGCAGCTGGGACTGGACCCAACAAGGCTAGTTAGATAATGGGAGCTAATTAGTTGAATCAGAACGGTCCTGACAGGTCTGGTGAAGCGGGAAGAGAAACCGTGCGAGTCAGCAGCACTGATGGGTGCCCTGCGGGGCAGACAGTGGGTCTAATCACTTCATAATCAGGTTATAATCACTCCCCAAAAATGCTTTTGTTAGGCCAACAGCCAGCTCAGCATTGCTAGACCTGTGGTGCAAGCCAAAAGTGGGGGTGTGTACGTCCTGTCCGTCCAACCACCGTCAAAACACGGCCCCTGTTGCTGATGTCCAAACAAAACTTGACATTAAGCAGCCCATGCTGGACTGGGAACAGGAGAAAGACAATTTATAAGGAGCCAAACTTATAGAACAGAAACAGACACACATCAGCCAGGGTTCTGGTTTCTCTAAGGTGATTAGTGATAACATAAAACTGAAGATGCCTTAAGGAGACAGTTTTATCTAAGTGTCAATAGTGGACTCTGAAAAGTAGCGAGATTGTGCACATTCCAGCCTGGCAAAACCTTTTCAGGCCATTCCTACAGTCAACACATCACCAAAACCAGCCCTGTGGTGCAGAGAGGAGCAGACTCCAGCCAAAGATGGAGGATTTGGGCAACAACAGAGCTAACCTGGGTTGTCTCATCTGCTGGAAAGCCTGGTAAAACATCTGTGGTTTATTATTTTACTTAACAGAGAGAATGCACATTGATAACAATTAAAAACACGTCCTAGCGTTAGCTAAAGGTTATATTTTGTCTGTTGTCCATAGACAGGTTTCAGGGGTTCTAATTGGTGATTGGCAAGGTCAATTAATGAATCAAAAACAAACAATTCTTTCCAAATCATTAAATGAGCCAAAGCAATGAACTGTAAACCAAACAGCACGTACATTTTTGGGGTTTACTAACAGTCAGTGATGACTGCTTTGAAGCATACATAAGGATAATCTTCTAATTTCTTCATTTTCCAATAGAATCCAAATTATCTCTATGAAGGAAACTACAACACATTTGTTTCTTACCTAAGGGTAACAGTTCCCAAGAAAACAACAAAGGGAAAATCATACTGCCTTAAAAGAGCCAGATAAGAGCATCTGTACTACAAAATCCAAAAGTCTAATTCTGACATTTAAAAGGCTTCTAAATCATGTGTTAAAGAAATATCCTTATAGTTACATAACAGGCAGGACAACATGCAAAAAGGAATGAAAAATGTTATGACACCAAAAGAGCAGCTAACAAAACTGGTGTTTTAATAGTTTCTTTAATTAATGACGCAAAATTGTTTAATTTCCTATTAACAGCAGAGTGGATTCCAGTCCACTGCTTCTTTTACAAAAAAAAAATATATATACCAAAACTTTTCCTTTGGGTAATAACAGTCTCGTCTCTCTTTTCTTTAGATGGTAAAAAGTTGTTATTTTGTTGGTTACATAATTAGCAAATATTTGCATGATAAATGTAAAAGAAAATGCTAAATGTCTGCATGTAAAATGATGTTCATGGTTTCAAAGTAAACCTTTGCCCTTGAAGGAAATGGAGCTTCTGTGTTACTTTCTCACTCACACAGATCTCCACTCTGCCACACCCACTCATTTCCCTTGAGCACTCCGCGTTCAAAAATAGTTCTACCCCAGACACAAGAGAAATAGAAAAGGAGATGGAATCGTATAAATTAGTGAGTTACTTATATTAAGACAAAGACATGGGTTCTGTGTTGGGTTGTTGCTGTTTTTTTTTTTTCTCACGTGTTTTAGAAAGTGCTGTCCAGTTGTAAAATAAAACAAAAATATATAATGATTGAATTACGTTAATCACTCTCAAAATGGTTGAATATGGCTATATTAGATTTTGAAAAATAAAATCCTCTTAGGTTAAGTTTGGTTATCTTGTTCAGTGGAATTCATGCATGTACATTATTTTTTTTTCCCACCTCTACCTTCTTTCTGCAGTTTTATGCTAAACCTGAAGGCTATTTTCACCTCAAAATAAGCCGTCAAACAGTCAGCATTGTTTGTGTTTTCATTCACTTATAATAAAAATTTCACGAGAAAAAAAGAAAAAAGAAAGAAACGCACAGTGTCACTACTCTAGCAGAGAAAATCTGTTTTGCTAAGAAAAAAAAAGTGCGCCTGTCATCACTCACCACCCTCCTCATGCGACGCTTGTTCTTCTTCCTCTTGCTTGGCATTTTGGGCGCGCTGCTGGAAAAAAAAAAACTCAAAAAGACTGAAAGGAGCGAAACGGGCAGCGAGAGCAATGTGGATGTTTATAAAAGCCTCCTATTTTCCCCCTTTTACCTTCGCGCCGAACCTATAGGCGGACTGGGATGGAAGATGGGAGGGGGAGCGTGTAAGAGGCAGAGAGCGACAGCTAAAAGACGCGCGCATGCGCACCACCGCTGCGTTACATGGCTAGATGAGCGCTGGACGACCTACCTACATTTTGGACGGTAAGTTGCGTTATGTAAGAGCTCCATCAAAGCACAGAGAGAAAGACAGAGAGGTCTACTGGCTTGGGACGCTTTTTTGGCTCGCATTTTTAGGTTTTCTGCTGCATTGTTGTTTTGTCAGCCAGATCATAAAAAAACTGCCCCGCTCAGTCAGAATCATGAGAAGACATCAACTGAACACATTCCTCCAGAGAAATTAGAATGTGCAACTACAAACAGAGTTTTGAATGGGTTGAAATCATAAAGCAAAAAGAATAGATGGCATTGTTTGATGCTGGGAACACAAAGAGAGAAAAGTCGCCCGCTGGACTGCAGAAGCTGTGAGGACCCATTGTCTGAAACTTCTTGGGCAGCAGGGAATGTATGCTTATTACATGAAATAAATACGCTTTTGTGTTGGCCACATTTATTGGCTTTTACTTAAAAGCCCTAAAATAAATGTATTTTGTATTGCAGTTATAATCTTTCTCTTAAGAAAAATTCAAAACCTGACTTTTAATCAAAGTATACGGTATACAGGGTGTTCAATTATTAGAACAATCCCTAATAAAAATTAATGTAATACAAGCCTATTTTATTTAAAATCTTAATTTTTATGGATGACTGTTGCTTCGCCAAGCCTTTCTCATCTGGATAAGGACCCGATTTTCTACCAGTAAACTGAAAATTGGTCACCAGCAGGATAAAAGTCTGATTATGGCCAAATCAACACAGATCTTATACTGGCAGAGCCAAAAATCTAACAAGGTTTGATAGCTAGAATTTCAACTCTGACACTATGCAACTGTAATAGAAGACTACTTTATCTGAAAGTTTTATTTTACACATCTTTACCGAGAGCATAGATAAACAATACATTTGTGGATTCTTTATTTCCCAGGTGTTGTTGGACGTAGTCATTTGATATTTATGCCATGTGGCAGTTTTGCCTGTGGGCTGGAAGCTTAATTTTCTCCTTCAGTGTCATTGAATGCATATTAGTTTTGTTCAGTGATTCCAACCTGAAGCTCTAGTTCAGGATGAACATTATGATCACTGGCTAACTGAAGAACAATTACATTTTTGCCCTGTCAGCTTTCTCTATTACAACTACAAATATTATAATAAAGTTGGTCCTATTATTCTGGCTTACATTTTAAGTTGTGCTTTATGTTGTTTAAACGTAAAATGTTATCTATGCAAATTCAGTCGATGTTTTGAAACGTGCACCAAGCTTTTGTGGATTTCCTCTTTCTTATTGATTCAGAAATATACATCTGGCCTTTGCAGATTCGCACAGATTCACTTCTTATAGCTTATATTTTGTGATGCAGTTACATGTTTTGGTGTCCTTTAAAGTATGCAAATGTAACCGGCCTGTAGTTCACCTCAAAATGCTGACGTGGATTGTTTTCTTTGCCAGGATGTGATCAATCATCGTTGGCTGTATTTTACTCAGCAGATAACATGTCAGCTTTGACAAGTAATCTGAAGTTTTTCCTTTTTTTTAAAGTATTCAAAAAAGTTAGTTAGGTTAGTCCTGTACCTCAGTCCTGTGAGCACACATCGACATGAAGGATAGAGAAAAGGAATCAGCTCAGCAGGTTTGTCAGGTTACATGGCCAACGGGTTAAATGCTGTGAAATCAAACAGCTAAAACAGAAGAGAAGCACAACAAAAGGCTTTAACAACCATTAAATACAAGGTGCCATAGCAATAAAAGTTTAATGTGCTTCTAAAACTTAATTGTTTATGATCATTTGTGATGGTAATTTACAAAATTATGATTTAAACATGTCATGAGTGAGAGCTTTAGTTCAGAAATTCGCGTGAATCTTGCACTCACTAATGAGTGTCTTGTTCATCAGTGGACAGATCATAAAGCATATGTGCTGGGAGGGCCAATGCTGAGCGATTTATCTTTTTATTTATGCATAAGTCTAGTGAAGTGATAAGACTGCTGTCAAACCAGAAACCTTTCAGCATTTTGGAGGACATTTAAAATAAAACAGTTTCTACAAATAACTGGATGGCTCTGGCAGACAGGAGGCACCAACCTGCCTGATTACTTGTGATAGAATGTGCACTGAAGCTGTCATAAGGTTAAAAGTCATTAATTTAAAGAGAAGAAATGTTGTCTGCCAAGTAACACCCATCCATGGTAACCTCCTCTGTCACATCAATCAGACACACATCCTGGGACAAAGCCACCATTATAAACTGGGATCTTTAAACATCCTTTCAGAACCAATCAAACTCCTTGGACCTTTTCACCTTTTGTCATGTTACAAACTCAACTTTCAATGTATTTTATTGACATTTTACATCATGGAGTTGCATGAAGTTGTGCATACTTTTAAATAATATCATAAATTTACATATTTATTTATTTGAGAGCGGTAAAAACACAGTTTAGCACTCACTAATGAGTAGCAATATATCACTTAACTATGCTTTTCTGTGTTATTTGTTCCTTTACTTGTAGCTTGTATAGAGTTGCTCTTGGAAATATTAATTTAAATATGGTGCAAATGTACTGTGTCTATTGTAAAGAGCCAGCTACTACTCAATATTTTATCATCAACAAGGAAGTTTAATAATAGCAAGACAATATGAATCTAGTCCACTCCCACAGCTCATTATTTTAATGTTTATAATTTTTTTTATTAGTGGCACAGTAGCCATCCACGCACAGCGTTGCATGCATGTGTAAAGAGTCACAGCTCTTTGGTGATACGAGCCAGACAAATATCACAGAGCAGTGAAAGACTCGCTGAGCACGTCATCTTCTGGAGTAAAACCAGGTATTAATATAACCAACCATGGATAAAGTTGTCAAAGTACAGATAAACACACTTAAACAAAATATTCCCTGAATATTTTCAGAAACTCTCTTGACCTCTTCCTCTCGATAATTGCACACACCGTACACAGACAAAAGTCAAATCCCGTTCATTCCTTTTCATATTGTCCTGTCTTCTGTTTGTCCACTCGGCCTCGGGCTTAGTTCTGCCTCTAAATCTGTTCCAGGATCCAGCATGTGAAGTTCAGACCATCTGAATGAGAATATGTTAGGAACTCAGCAGGACTTCTCTACCTAAAAGAAGAAACTAATTTCAGACTTTGTGTTCCTAAATGTTAACTCTACACCATTACATCATTTTTAATGTCCTGCGTGTTGAACAGCTTGATTGTTTTCAGGTTTTGTGACTTTAAAACCACAAACTTGGGAAAATGTAATTGTTATGTATATACACAAAGTTGAAGGAAAACCATGCAAGATGTTCTGAATGTTTTACAAATAAAATCTGAAGTTTGTCTTTCTTCCACGTGTTTGCAGTGCCTCCTACAGGGTGTATGGCAAACTGCATGTTACGTCTTATAGATTTATTTCAACAAGTCTTGTTATTTTTGCTCAAAGACCAAATTTGGAGTGGACTGGCTGTTCTCCCACCTGAGCTGTGGATCCCTGCAGAACCTCCAGAGTTTCCTTTGGCCTCTTTATTTTTTTCTCTGACTAAGGCTCTCCTGGTCTTTCAGTTTATGTAACTGAAAATCTCTTTTTGAGGTACCGTATTTTCCGCACTATAAGGCGCACCTAAAAAACTTCAATTTCCTCAAAAGCGACAGTGCGCCTAATAATCAGGTGCGCCTTTTATATGGACCAATATTGAGCCACAACAGGTCTAGCAACTACTGTAAGCAGCCGCTGACTTCATTTTCGCCCGTAGAAGAAGAAGCGCGCGGTGCATGCTGGGATAGTTGTCAGAACGCTGGTTTGTAATCTATTAATAAAGTTTGACTGAACTATCTACCTACCAACCGTCTAGAATCAGGTCGTCTGCAGGTCATTTAGCACCGCGTTCTCCACCAACATGCTGTGCGCGAACGGAGAAGGGTGACCATCATCCCACCACGCCCCAGTTGCGGAAGGCTCTCCTCGCGACCGCAGTCGGACTGTTTTGTTGACATTCTTTATGTCAACAAAGTGGCTTTAGACATTCATCCGGGGTGCTTCGGGGGCGGGGGAAGAGAGACAGGGACTGCGGCGGCAGCGTGTCGGTTGGTCTGTGTTACCCAGAAAGCAGTTGGGCACAATATCGCAACACCAACACCGTGAGTGAAACAATGACTGGGGCAGCCTACTATATAAAGTACTCGGGGACCACTTCTTTGTTATTACACATCCACATTTGTAGAGTACGGAACAATTCGCGTCCCTAACTGTAGTGTCTTTTCTGTGCGCCTTATATATGAAAAAAGTTTTAAAATAGGCCATTCATTGAAGGTGCGCCTTATAATCCGGTGCACCTTATAGTGCGGAAAATACGGTATTTAAAGCGTTGAGGTACTATTTAATAAATAACTGCTGCTTTAGACTTCTTCGCAGCCATTCCTAAACTTTCTGCTGTGTTTGGTCTTCATGATTCTGTTTGTTCACTAATATTTTGTAGCGAACCTCTGAGGGGGTTAATACACACGCACACCTTAATTGTAAAACATTTTTAACCTATGCCTCCTCTATCTCATAAAGTGTGTTTGAAATGTGACAAAATTTTGAAAATTTCAAGGTTTATGAATACATAGTAGTTTTTCTTCATTCTAATTTTTTCTTTTTCTTTCTTCCTTTTTTTTTAACCATACATTTAAAACCAGTCAGTTACTCAACCTTACAGCAAGCTGCTCCAAATAGTGTTACAATGTTTAATTGGTTAAATCAATACAGGCTGATTTACTCTAAAATGGGGTTATAAATAAAACTAACAAATTAAGAGTGTAAGGAGAAACCAAGAAAAAGAGAATGGAACTGAAAGGAGCACAGGTAAGAGTATCAGAATGAAGTGGGAGAAACATTTTGTAGGTAAAAATATGCTCTGTAAGCCCCACAAAAAAATAATTATGATGCTGTCTCCATATTAACAGTTGTCTTGTGTTCTTATACCTAAAAGAGCTAAAAAAAAAAAAGAAAAAGAAATCTGGAAGAAGGCA